AGTAAAAAAAATTCATGAAAAAGGAGCTTTTTTGGTCCCGTCATAGAGGTATTTCCCCTTAAATAATGAAAGTGCACACTATAGAGGAATTGTGCACACGGCATAATGTTCGTGACATTGTTAATGATAATTAAAAAATAAATGTTACACTGATTTTTAATATCGCACTGCAAAAACTAGAGCACTGAGAAAGAAAGAAGGTGACATTATATTATATTTTTATGTTACTTATATTGACATACATAACATAAATAATATACCAGATTCCATTTTTCAGTTTGTTTCTTGCTTTGTATGTCATTGGTTACATCTGTTTGTATCCTACCAATTTTTCTCGATGTTGTTCTACCTTTGAACAAGAGTCGCCAGCAAAAGGTGTACATCGGAATATTTTCTCGATCCGGCCAAATACATCTATTTGTTTATGGTACATTTGATGGTATTCACCTACTTAGGGACATTCATTGTGCTGGCTACTGGAACAACGTTCTACGGTTACCTTTTACACAGTTGCGCCGTGTTTAAAATAGTCAAGTGAGAATTCGAGATAATTAGATCTAAATTAATCGAGTTATGATATCGATATGCATTTACAGCTATCGAATGGAGATGACAATGGACAGTGACGTATTGCGGATCCCTGTATCGGAGCGGGACCGCGTAATTCTCAATAGATTGATTTATGCCATCGACATTCATCGGAGAAATCTCTTGCTCGTTCCTACATAGTGCTCGAAAAATCGAAAAGCTTTCTTCATTACTACTAATTCTTTTATTTCAACAAATCTCGAGGCGACCATGCGTTGTTAAACACGGACATTTAGCGTGAAGCTATTATTCGTCGAAACTTCGTGCTTTTAGCTTCGTTATTTAAATTAAACGCAATATGATAATTTTAGCTCGACAAAATTTCATCTACAATATAACGTGAAAGTGTTTCGAATGTTCTAGGTACTGTGATACGCTAATGGTACAGTTAAACAGACCATTTTTCGCGATAATCGGAATCGGGATGACATCCCTGATTATATGTTTGTTCCGAGTAAGTGGTGCTTCATATATTGCGTTATGTATATTCATTATACGTATATAAATCGCCAAATAAGCAAATAAATGATCCAAAAATTGCATATACCGCAGTTGCTGCAGACGATAACACGATGATATAATGCAAATATTTATACCACTGGCTTTCTTTTTCGTTCATATATGTTACATATTTTTCGGCAACCACATCGGCCAACAGGTGACAAACAATAACGCTGAGATCTTTAATACAGTGAGTGTTCGTCTTTCAAAATTCTTGGGAATATTGTCCCATATGTTATTTTCATCCAGTGATCAATTATTATTTATATATATAGCGATCCAGTACCAATTCTAGTGTTGTAAGCTTTCTTTAGGATTGTGCCTTAACTCTTAAAGGCTGACATGGATGGAATTTCAGCCTATGCGAATTTTTGCTTTATTAAAAAATGTAACTATACTGACAGCAAAATTTCGTACACCGGATCTTCAACGCGGAATAAGTTTTAAACAGTTGGCCGGATCGCTTTCGACCCTTATAATTTCTTTTAGAACTCTTAGAATGATATGCAAGCTGCCCTCAGAACTATTGAGAATTCTGAAAAAAAATTTCACTCAGGACTTAGCCAAATTTCGTTTACCGGATCTTTAAGGTGGAATAAACTTATAGAGACTAAGAATAGAAACTAAGAAATTATAAGGGTCGAAAACGATCCGACCAGTAATTAAAAAGTTATTTGACGTCAAAGGTCTGTTACGGTAATACTGTTCGTAATTATTTTTTAAACAATTCTGTGAATTTAATTTTTTTTCTTGTATCAGGAACTGTAGAACTTATCGAAAGAAACCAGATGGACCATTTAGAACTATTCGAGCTTGATGTTTAATTTTTCGAAATTTTTAATTTTTTTAATCTTTTGGAAAAAAATCAGAATATCTTTTTATCTATCAGGAACTCTAGTACTCGTCAAAAGACATCGAATGAGCCACTCAGAACTATTCGATCTTGAAGTTGGGTGTGAAGTTAGCACCTCATTTTTTAACTGCTATTTTAGTACTGTTAATCGCCGGAACTCTTTTTATTAATATAAAAAAATTCTTATACTCTTCAAAAGGAAGTTAGAACTCTAATCAGAACTATCGAGAACTAAAGTTGGGTTGCTAACTGCACATACCCCACGAACGCATATAAAGTTCACGTACAACATTCGTTTTTTATACTTGCAGATACAATCTACTGTGGTATGTGGTTTCCATAAATATACAAAAATTGATGTTGTTCCTACTACAGAAGGGTAATAAAGATATTTATTTATCGATTGGTGGTTTATTCAATTCCTCATACGAGTGCTTTACAACGGTATAATTACTAGTATAACATAACTAATTACTATCAGGTCCTGTTGCTGTACGTAAAATATTCTATGTTCTAGTTACGAGTAATAACCTCTGCTATATCGTACTTCACAGTGATCTATACCATTCAATGAGGATATAACCTGTGGCCAAAACATTTGTAGTTTCATATCTTATAAAATCACACTTAATATTCAATACTTTCGTTATTAATATGCAATGTATTACAGACACATATAATGGAATTAATAGTTCATCGAAGATGCTTGCTTTTAATTTCCGGAAAATCAATAAAATGTTCCTTTATCGGCATGCTTTCTGTCTCATTCTTATCTTTATGGTTAATAAACGAAACGTTTGTACTTGTCTGGGAGCGACGATTCTAATAAATCACATCAATTGCTAATCGATCGAGAATTTATTTCATAGCATTAAATTCAATCTAACATTCTAATTTCAATTTAACATTTGTTATGTACCTTCCTATAAAAGCTCATGTCTAAGAGTTAAAAAATGCATGACTCGCCTCAGTCTATTGGTCTTCATCAACAGAGGGTGAATGTTTAAATGTTTGTTTAAATGAATGTTTAAAGGATATTGTTTAAGGACAAATGTTTAAATGACATAATGCACGATATGCTTTGCGTGAAAATTCATATAATAAGATATATTTTTGCCGAAGATATCGCTACAAATATTGCTACAAAATTCAAAGGAAAAACACCCTTGCATGAAAGAAGAAAAACAACTATAATTATGGTAACTAGCATTGCCGTTGTTTTCATTTTGTCACATACATAAGGGGTGAACATTTTTAAATCGATCAAGAGGCGTACTATCACTCGACCTTCATGTGTATATAATCGTGAAAATATTGTCAAATTACGACTGTTATTTAGTCATTTTGCAGTTACGTTTTCTCACGAAATTTCTTCATGGAAAATGGTTCGATATATCGCGGAGGTAATACTTAATGACCATCACACATGAGTGGTAGTAAACTATCGTTTTTCACGAAACTTTTCTTTTTTCATTTCGTGGATTCTTGTAACGAATATCGTCGATGAAGGATTGTTATTATAGGTTGCATCGTATTATGCTGAAGGCGTTCAGCTTGTGACTCTATCAGAAATTGAAGTGGTAAAGACCAAATGGTAAAGACAATGGATGATAATTGTGCATTTCTCGGCGATATTTGTGCAAGTATTTGCATTATTTTCGGTTCGCGTCCATTTATATGTTCATACGCAAACAAAAAAGTTGTATCTAACGTGTTACATGATATAATAATAATTTTGTTAATTAGCTATTTGTCACTCACACATGAGTACACCATGGATTCGTTCATCAATGTATACATTCCTTCACTTTCCTGATTATCTGTTGGTCATACACCATATTTATTATTTTTGCTCCGACGCGGTAAGACGCTCGTATGTTTTCCTTTTTTCTTTTTTCTTTCTGTACCAGTGCTCGGAATTACTTTCATTTTTCAGGCGATTTTCGGGGGTTTCCCCTACTTACTTCCTTTTACCTTCTCCTTACTGCACCCACACGTCCGCTAGCTCTAAATCTGATCCGTTCGCGTCATAGACGCTTACCAACAGCTGATTATAGCTAATTTTACAGTTATTGGTAAACGCTTCTTAACTGTTACAATATCATCAACTCTGAGGTGGGAAGGGCGACTGTTAGATCTATGATCAGCAAGCATGCAGGTGTAGTAAAGGGAAGCTAAGGGGAAGCAAATAGGAGAAAACTTCTGCGAAAATTGCCTGAAAAGTGAAAGTAATTTCGAGCATTGTTTTATACGATTCAGTTTAATCGATAATTCAAGGCAGTAATGAAATATATGTATTACGTCTGGAAATTTTTCATGATTAGAACGGAATGGGATGATCACGCCTCTACAGCAAAACTATTTACGGAGATATTTACATGTATGTACTGATCGTGGATTTATTTATATCTTTTAGTTGCAATCATACTTTGACGGAAGAAAGAATATATATGACACAGTAATAATTATACACTTGTACCATAATTGTTGCAATGATTTGACACGGTTAAACTTATTTATCTGTTCATAATACATTTGGTGCTCATCAATACATTTTATCTGCTCAGGAATGCTTCCGATATTAACTATTAAAATGACGCTTTATAGTTACCATTTACATTCTTGCGTTATGTTCAAATTAATTAAGCGAAAAATCGAAACGATTAGGTACGAAGTAATTGTATGATATCGATGCGTATTTGCAATTATCGAATGAAAATGATGGTGATAAACACGTATTGCATAAAATGACATATTATGGATTTCTAGTCTGGAACAGAAGCGCGTACAATTCTCGAAAAATTAGTTTGCGCCATGGATATTTATTGGAAAAGTCTCTTGTTTGTTTATATAGCGTTCGAAAAATTAGTCTTTTTTCTCTATTGCTAATTCTTCTATAATTATATATTCCGGAGGCGATTCTTTGGAGAATTCATTTCTCAAAATAATTCTTACATCTTATCAAAATGTAAAATCTTCAAAATTCTGGAAAGTGCATATCAATATTAACATGTATTCTTACTTCTATTTGCAGATATAATTGAAAATAATACTCAATTTCCCTAAATATACAAAAATTGTTATTTCTATTACGAAAGGATAACAAAGATGTCCATTTATCTATCGCCAGCACTTTCGATATCTTATACGAAGCCTTTGCAACGGTATTGAGAGTTTGTCATTATTAATTATGATATCACATGTTCAACGTGCTAAATGTAAATGAATGCACGTTTCAGCTCACAATTTTGGAAATATCATATTTCAATGTGATGTCATGCAATAAAGACGTGTGAACAGTGGCAGAAATATTATTAATCGATCTTATAAGATTAGCTTTGGAAAAATGATTGTTCGATATCGAATATTGTTATTACCCTTATTATATATTACTTACAGACGTAATGAAATTGACAGTGCATCGAGTGAATTTGATTTCCGTTTTAATAAGGTGAATAAATGACTTTTCAACGTATCTTCTGTTTCACTTTATGGATTGTTTATGGATGAAGGATTTGTACCATGTGTCGTATGGTGATAATGAGATTAATAAATCACACCCATCGCTTATCGAACGAGAAAATTTGCTTGAGGCTACCAAATGTAAACTTGTGCTTGTTAGCTATTCTACTGTTACAATTGATGCATCTAATAGAGAACATACAACGTACGTCTGCCTGTTGAAACTGCCCCGCCAATGCTAAGGGTGAAAGTTCGTAATGCTAGCACATCGCACGACTAACTACGCAAAAATGCTGCTCGCGTGAGGAAATCGATACGGTATATTTTCGCCGAAGGTATCGTTCAAAAGATAAACTCGTAATTACGTCAATTGCTGTCGCTATTACTTTCGTTTTATCACGGAGGTTGATTGTTCATCGATCGATGTCACGAGGTACGCGCTCTTCTCACTTTTTCATCGTGCGATTACGAAGATGCACCAAATTATTGCCGTCATTTAGTTATTTCGCGATAATGTACTTTCGCGATATTTCCGCGGAAAATACAGTATGTACCAAGACGGAAATATATCGTAAATGGTATCATAGCGAAATATTGTTCTCCTCGAAATTTCTCCCTTCTTTCATTCGCTCGTCGAGCTTCTCGACGAACATGTCGGTAGAGGATTGTTACTACAAGTTCAATCGTATCCTACTCAAGTCGCTCGGCTTGTGGCCCTATCAGGATTCGAAATGGGCATGCGTTCAGGCTACCTTCATGACGATTATGTATCTCTCGGCGATATTCGTTCAGGTATCACTCGTTCTTACGCTCTTCGTACTTCGGTCCGAATGCGAGAAACGCTGTCAACGTGCGTCGTGGTCGACGTAATTATTGTTTTTAGTTGGCAGTGTTCATCACGCACGAGTGCACCATGGACGTACTGATTAAAGTATTCTCTTTCGTTTTCCCGACTATTTTCATGTTTTATACGTATTACTTGTACTATTTAAAATCCGACACGGTAAGTCGACGACAAGTTACCACGCCTCGTTCGTCCGAACATGTCATAAGGATCGTTTATTCGCTTCAGATAAAAGAAATCATGGAAAATATGTATCAGGATTGGAAGTTTTTCAAGAATAAAGCGGAACTCGACATATTGAACGATTACGCCAACTTGGCGAAACAGTTTACGGAAATATTTCTATGTAAGCATCGATTGCGGACTAATTTGTACACGTGCACATTTATTGCTTGCAATTATAGCAAGTTAATGCTTAGCATAATTGTTGTAATAATTACACCTCATCGTTTACGTTTATTCAATACTATCTGGTTTACGCGCATACGCGCACACATTTCTGATATTCGTAATGATTCGTGGTTACACTGATCAATGACACGGTTTTAATATCACACTCACTTTTACATTACGCTTTTTTCTTTCATAAATAAATGTAATGAAAGAAAATATGTCAGGCGCACAATTACATATAGTACTACGATATTTTTATTGCTCTTAGTATCATTTTGCTTAGGCTACGAAAGTATTGACGCAGTAATACGGATATTTTAATCCCACACAATGTGCCTGATTGTATTAATTACTTGTAGCATTATTAAATGAACGAATTTATTAAAATACTGATCTATCCTGATATTTCTCAGTTTGTCTCTGCGTTGGCATAATAACGACCATGATGTGTCACATTATACCGATAACACTTGACATTGTTTCGCCCGTGAATGTGAGTCGGGCGGAAGATCTACATGTTGCAGTGGAATACTTCGTCGATCAGTCCAAGTACTGTTATGTATTAATATTGCATTTGACGGTTTTCGTTTGCTTAGGATTGACCACAGTGATAAGTGTCGGAATAACGCTTTACGGTTATGCTTTACACGCTTGTGCGTTGTTTAAAGTGGCCAAGTGAGAATTTGAAATAATCAATTTCGAAACAATCAAGCGATATGCAATATCAGTGTCACGTTTTCAGCTATCGGATGGAGATCACAATGGACAAGGACATATTACGAATCCCTAATCCGCAAAGGCAGCACGTAATTCGCGACAGACTGATTTGCGCAGTCATCACTCATCGAAGGGCTTTTCTGTTTGTATATTTTAAACTGTGGAAATATCTTATGTCGAGCTTTTGCACAACAAACTTTTAATCATTATCTATCCAAATTTATTTTTACATCAAATTTACATCAGATATATTCTAGCGTTTGCACGCAAGCTAAGAATGTGCTCTCATCAAATTAAACATTAATTAAATCTACACACATACATACACTCACACACACGCACACAGGTTATCCCTTAACTCACAAGAGGAATTCATGGAAACATGGAACGGATTAAGACAAACATAAAAGTTCCATATCATTTGCGATATTTGCAATGGTTATTGAGGTATTAATTCACAGAAATTAAATTCACAAAATTCATCAATTCATTCACAAAACAAATTAGAGTTTCCATTTAAGATTTTTATATCGACCTTGATAACGTTTCTCAAGGTCATTCCAAGGTCGAACAATTATCGACATCTGATAGCTTTTTTTAAGCCCTACAGCTTTTGTTTCAAACATTGTTTTAAACAATCATTATTTTTTGGAATAATTAACCATTCCAGAACTTCCTGTATGTCAAGGTCGATGTCATCGGAGCTGACTCCCCTAAAGTGAACATTTACCGAAATTTTTGCCTGCCTTTAATATAATTACGATAGAAGGCGCATTATAATTTATCTAAAGTTGTTATACCAAGAGTGGATGTTTCTCTGTTCATATTATTCAATTACAATAACAAAAATCGTAACATGTTATAGTTAAATATTTCGCGTGTCGTGTATGATTCTTCAATACAGAAAAATATGAAGAATCAATTGTAAATGTATAATAGGCTTCTGTTAATATTTCTTTGGGATTCCTTTCGACATAATGAAATGATAAATTGCGATAGAAAATAATTATATTCTCACATCGGCTTTTATCGCTTTCTATTTTTCTATTGTTTATTTTTATCACAGACACTCATCATGTTTCAGATTAAATTATTCTTGCTGTCTTATAAAATGATCTTGTAATTGTAAACTGTGTATCGGTCATTGACGCGATTTTAGACGTAGGAGCGCCGATTTAACCTTTTGCGGCTGGTGATCGATATATCGACCACCTATCTCGAAGTCATTTCTTTTAATTTTTCGAACACCAAATAGTGCATTTTATTACTTTTTTTTGTATTATAATTTTATTTCAATAAGAGTCTTAATAGTATTTGGTAGGGTGTAATTTTTTTTACTATTAGTTAATTTTGTTACATAAATAAATAAAGTATAAAATAAACGTAAAATAGTGTTTTTTTCACAAAAAATTCATGTCAGAATTAAAGAAGAATCATGAAACCGCGAAAATCAGTATACTAGAAAACATTTTTTGAATCCGCTAGTAACATCAGGCCCTAAAATATTATAAATATTTCTGAAAATTATGTATTAATTTTTTCAGATCTTTGAATACAAACAACTTATTATTATAATTTCTTATTATAATTTCGAAATTAGCGGGGAGAGAAATATAAAAATTCAAATTATTTTTATGATATCCAATAAATAAAATTGTTTGCCTTTGAATACAAATTTGTTAGTAGATTCTAATGTTTGGATTCACTAAACTAATATTGCATATTCAAATTTCGTAATATTCAATTTCAAAGTCGTTTATCATCCGAAAGCATATATTTCCATTAATTTTTATAAAAAATTTAAAATGAGTATCTAAAATAACAAGATTAGTTGTTTTTATTCGAGAAAACATTAGCAACAAAGTACATTTAAAGTTTTTATGAATATTGTCTTTTTTTATGAAACTTCTGTATACCAATTATCATGAAAAACCGACGAAATACACATGTGTATATCCAAAATCGTAAGCTGCCATATTAGATCCGCCATTTTGAAAAATAATCGTCGAAATCTGATGGCGAATTCGTAATCAGCGACTCGAAAAACCTTTGTATACCAATTTTCATGAAAAACTGATGAAAAATATCCAAAATCGTTAGCCGCCATATTGGATCCGCCATTTTGAAAAAGAATCGTCAAAATCTGATAGAGGATTTGTAATCAGCGACCCGAAAAACCCCTGTATACCAATTTTCATAAAAATTCGATTAATAGACAAATGCGTGCCGCAAAAGACAAACAACGGCACATTGTCTTTCCCCTCTCATGCCGCGCAACCAAGACAAGTGTTAGAAAGTTGGCTGTGCTGCGGCCTGAGCGACTCAAATGCTTTTTTTCCGTCGCTTGGCTTTTTTTTAATCCTTGAACATTAATTTTACGAAAATTATTGCGAATTTCGCAAAATGATATAGAACATTTGTGTTCGCTTTGTCCTGCTCTACATCTCCACGAGAGATTGGTGGATCCAGGTAGTCTGAGACACTCTGTATAATAGTATTCTAATTAATATTATTTTTTAGATATTGATATTATTATTAATTATTCCGCATCAAAATTTTCTAAAAAATATTCTATAAAGTTCTTCGATTAAACACGAAAAGAATAATTTTATCCTTACAGAATATAACATATTGTATGATGAGATTTTTTGTTGAAGGTTTTGCGATCTTTTAATGCAAAATTTGCAAAGATCGTTTCTTTTTATAACTATAATTGGTGTGGTGTCTTTATCAATAAATTTGTTTCGTGTGAGTAAGTCGATATTTTGTACCATCTATTTTTCCAGATCAACTAAATATCTCCTTAACGTACATTTAACATTGCAGTTTCTTAAAGCGATAACAGCGTTCGAGGAAGTAATTGAAATAATTATACCGTCTATTCTCATTTTCTTTCACTTTGTTTATATGTTCCTTGGCAACCACGTCGGTCAACAAATTACAAATACTAATGCCGAAATCTTCAATATAATGTGAGTATTCGTTTTTCGAAAGTTTCAAGAAAGTTGTCCTGCACGTTACAGTGATAAAATAATTCTGAATACCGTCTATTCATTGTACATAAGCGTGTTTTGAACTAAATACCATGATGGAAGTAAAATTTATTATTTTTGCATTTAAAGGAGAATATATGGTAAGAGCTTGAGAGTCTCAAAAACATTTTTCAAGGCGAGTAACTATACTCATTATTTTTAATTTACAGATGCAGCTTGCCATGGTATACAGCTTCTTTAAATGTACAAAAATTACTGCCGTTTTTATTACAAAAGAGTAGTAAACATTTTTGTATCTCACTGGGCGGTATATTCAATGCTTCATACGAGGGTTTCACAATGGTAGTGAATGCTGATGCAAATATATTATAAAAAATCATTACCCTTGGCTCAATGTATTCTGTGAATAAAAGAAAAACTTTATGTTCCAGCTTTCAAAGTTATCAATATCGTATTTCACAGTACTTTACGCTGTCCAATAAAAATATAAACTACAACAGAGATACTTATAGTCAATTTTAGTATCTTGCATCTCGCGGTATCATATAAAAATGATAATTCTTTGACTTAGAGATATTAAAACTCTATATGATAACGTACGGCCTGAAATAAATAACAGAGTATTACAAAATAAACAAATCGAGTTGAAACATAGCGTTCTGCTTAACTCCTTATTCTGTATATGTATCTACGAAAAGCTACGAAATTTTGTTATCACATTAACTCACATTTTGTTATACTTGTAATTATTCTATGCTGCTGAGAAATACGTTTTTCTCACGTTCTTCACACCTTTTTCGCATCAATTCTTTGTTCAAACGTTTCAATTGTCATTGGTTGCGGTCGTCTGTGATTGTTTTATTTGATTTCAATTCATTTAGATTCAGTTTATTTGATTTCAGCTCATGATACACACACACATATACACGCGCGCGCGCACACACACACACACACACGCATGCACGCACAACGCTCCTTCCTGATTCCACGAAATATAAAGCATTATGTTGTGACCATGAATATTCCATTTAGGCGTTGAAATTGACGATTGGTCCAGCACCATTCATAAATTTTTGCATTTCGGATTATCATAATAGATTTATTTTTCATCGCCGATTACAATTTGTCACAAAAACTCCTTTTTTATATCTTGCGAGCAAACAACTAGTATTGGAAAGACGATTAGAGATTGCAGCATTAGTGAATTTGTGTGGCACTCATATTCCTTCTTTATGAATCTTTCCCATGGCGTGTAAACATTTGGAAAAACTGCCGTCGATGACATTTAGTGTTTCTGATAATTCTTTGGTCGTTTGAGGATTTTCTTTCAATAATGCTTGCAATTCAACGTCTTCAAACTTTTTTGGCTGACCTGGATGTTGTTTGTCTTTCACGTAAAATCACCACTTTTAAATTGTTGAAATAATTCTTTGCAAGTCATTTTTGGTAAAGCAGCATCACTATAAGCTTCACTGAGCAACCGATGAATTTCAGTAAGATTTTTCTTCAAATTATAGTAATGAAGAAGAATATGTCAAAAATCTCTTTATTACGTTCCATTTTTTATCGAATAAAATAGGCCATTATGTATTTAATTTTATGGAGAAATGTCAAGCCTTCTTTTGAGCTGTTAGTTACAACATTCCTTGCTGGTACCGTCTATTCGTGAGAGTTCAAAATTAAGTTCAGCACCTAATACATCGCGCAATAGTTTTTAAGTTTACCCTAGTCTCTAATCGACTTTGTGAGGAGTGCGTTAAAGGAAGCAAAAAATTTGCAGTTACAATATACCATAGTATGCAGCACCATTGCAAACGCAAAAACTATTCTTGTTCATAATGCAAAAAATTCATAATGCATAATGAGAAATGTCACTTTAATATGTGGCGGTATATTCGTAGCGTCCCTATAATGTCTCGCTTCGGTAAAACTCAAAACTTGTTGCATAATGTAAGTATCGAGCTTCAGTGTGAATTTAACAACCGGTGCATCGTGTCTTTTTAGTTAACGAGTACGGCCGTATCTTATTTCACTGTGGTATATTCTACGCGATAACGACTTTCGAAAAAGGAAGGGATTATTATCAATCTCGATGTCTCTCTTGATTCGCTCTTCGACGACTCGTATCCGTTTCAAAATTGTTGAATATAGCATATTAAATAAAAACGTATCTTCACTCTTGAGACGCATCAGTATATAATCGTCCAAGGAATGAACGAACGAATCAGCTAGAGCAGAGATTCCCAATCGAGGGTGCTTGTACCCTCTGGGGGTGTGAAAAAGCATTCTTAGGGATGCGAGGAAAAGTGATTGTAATTAATGATGATTAAGATGAATTCTGGAATAATCCGGCATTTTTACCATCAAATTAAAAAAAATGTTATTAAAATTATATATTTTTTATGTATCTGTACGTATATGTTCATTACGTATCACTATGCGAAGCTTAATACCATGGATAATAATTTTATAATATTCAAATGATAGTTAATTTCTATAAAACAATACTATGTAATAATAAATTGTTATAAATTAACTTCTTAAAACCTTAACAACTAATTTTTACCATAAAACATACAAATAATTTTTTTTTGGGGGGTGCGAAGGTTCATTAATAAATTTTTAGGGATGCGGAATACAAAAAAAGTTGGGAAACCCTGAGCTAGAGGAAAGATTATATTATCAAGTGACGGTTGTTACGGAAGACGTGCGGCTCAGAGGAAGGAACATGGAAAGAATATAGTGAAATGTTGAAAAATTAACGAAATTAAAACAGCAAATAGTTGCAAGAGTAGCGTTAAAATAACGAATTCATTCCGCAGATATATGTAAAAATATCGCAACACTTGATGGATGAAAAGAAACTAATGTGTCATCCGATATATATCGCAACATTATCACTGCACATTTGAGCGAAAAACGAGAAAAGTGAAAACACAGAGCGATATTGTCTTCCAATGAACTGGGGAGAAAATACCGTAGCAATCTAGATAATTGATTTTTTTTTCTTTCTCGCCCAAGAAACGCCCATCACAATATGTTTCCATTGCGTTCCCTTCTTTCTCGAAGTACTCTCACTGCATCTGCTCGAGCTACAGATTATGGCATATATCAATCGTTCAATATTAATACGCTTATAATATTCACAGATAATTTCTAAATGAAGAAGAATTGAGCTTATGAGAATAGTATATTAATAGAGTTTGAGTACTCGTTCAGTGGTTAGTAGCATTTTATCTTCCATGAGGCGTATATCTCATCGAGGAATACTATATAATCAATAGGGCTTTTCTCAAAGCATTAGGTATCTAGTATCGTAACAGATCACATCTTGCATTATTGTAGTGGATACTAATTATCATCGTATTCCTGACATATCTCGGCATGCAGATAACACTGCAAGCATCTGGCAACATGAAGCGCAGATTGATTTTACATTAAGTGAATATGTCCAGTGATAGATAACATGTTAATTCTGAAAAATCATTTGCTTTGTACATTCTCTCTTGATTCCGACAATCTTCCAGAGAATGTAGCGCAAAGTAAAAAGAATGAAATGCGAATAAATATTGGACTCGCTTGTACTTTGTTACAAGCCTCTTCGAATTTCCCCATAATAAGAGACAACTAATGTTGTGATATGCAGAATATGTGTGTAATTATGCAGTTATAAAACATTTTAATATATAATAATAACAATAAAAAATAGCAACGACAATAATAATAATAATAATACTAATTTCAATAATATTATACTCAACAATAGTAGAGATGTGTGAACTATTCGAATCCGAATAATTCGAAAATTTCGAATTCGCGAAGATTCGAATATGAATCAAATAATTAGCGAATTAGCGTTTGCGCGCATCAGCTATAAAACGGGTCGTCTGGGCCTGCATGTTTGAACTCTTAACTTGTAATTAACATAACTTATAATTAATAACTTAGTTATAAATTACTTTAAATATTGAAATATATATTTTACTTTAAGATGATATTACAATATCAATATTCCGTTTAATATTAAAATCTTCCATCATTATTTGCATGTTTAATAGTCATGTTAAATTTGTTAATGATTTGATTCGATTTCATTCGATTCGACTCGAATTTGAATGAAATTTCAGAGATCCGATTCGATTCGAATTCGAATTTAAAAAATGAGATTCGATTCAATTCGATTTGACATAGAAATTCTTGATTCGCACATCTCTAAACAATAGTCATATATTCCTACACTTTGTCTTTAGGAAAATGTATATATACGCTATTTCAAAATGATATTTTATTTATAAGAAGTTTATATGTCTACTTTTGTAATATGTGACGTAACTACTACGACGAAAGCGATACACGTAGTTGCAAGATTGGTCATATTTATTAACGCGTTGTAAGTGTGGAAAAATATTCAGGGCATGTAGTAACACTATCAAACATTATTATTCTTCCACAATTTAATATTCGTATGTATATGACATTGTTTAACAAAATATATATAATAGAATATAATATATATAATAAAGTATATAATAATAGAACAGTTCCGACAAATATTACTATAATATTTATGGTTCACATATATATATATATATTTTTTTACACATGTGACGATCATAAAAGAAAGATTAAATAAGCGGTTTCTCCAGCGGTTACACCAAGCGCAGGTAATTATAACAATATCGCTGCAAATGTCGCATTTACTTTATTAGATTTCTTTTTAACAAAAGTCTACGGGTTTCAAATTCTGATAACTTTTCTTCCATATAATCAATTTTATGCAATGAATATTTGATTATGTTTCTAAGTTTTGCTGATGCAAACTGATAGTGTATTAAAGACTGTAATTTTAAAATAGCATTGCGAACATAAAGTATTATTGTCAAGTCTAAAGTATAAAATAATTTCTATGTCTTACCAAAATATAAAATCTTTAAAATTCTGCAAAGTGCACATTAATATGAACATGTATACTTCAATATATTTGCAGGTATAACTGAAAATAATATGCAATTTTCCTGAATATACAAAAAGTGGTGTTATTTCCATTGCGTAAGGATAACAAAGACGTCCATTTGTCTGTCCTCAGTATTTTCAATATCTTATACGAAGATTTTGCAACGATATTGAGAGTTTCTCATTACTAATTACTAATAGCATTTTCGATATGCTAAATATAAATTATTGCATGTTCTAGCTTATAATATCGAGGGCATCGTACTTCACTGTGATTTATGCCATCCAGTAAAGATGTGAACAGTGGCAAAAATATTCCTAATCGATATTATAAGTTTAACTTCTGGAAAATGATTGTTTGGTATTGAATATTGTTATTACTCTTATTACATATTACTTACAGACGTAATAAAACTGACAGTGTATGGATTGAATTTGATTTCTGCTTTAATAAGGTGAATAAATGATTTTTTCAACGTATTTTCTGTCTCACTTTATGTTTACGGATGAAGGATTTGTACATATGTCGTACAGTGATGATGAGACTAATAAATCACACCCGTCGCTTATCGAATGAAAAAATTTGCTTCAGATTACCAAATGTAGACTTATGTTTGTTAGCTACTCTACTATTACAATTGATGCATTTAATAGAGAACATACAATGCACGTCTGCCTTTTGAAACCGCTCCGCCAACGCGGCCGGTGTGAAGTTGGCACTTCATTTTTTAGCACCGCAAGTTTTAACGATAGTTCTATTGGCACCCACAATTTCTACAGTTTCTGATGAGGTTATATCAATAGTTCCGCCGAATTAGTTAACAAAATGGCAGATTGAAAATATGAGGTGTTAACTTCTTGTAGCACCGCAACTTCCAAAAAAAGCCATTTCAAGCACGAAATCTTATAGTTCTAGTATAGTCTTGATATGTTTTAGCAAAAGTTCTGGCTTCTAACTAATTTTAAATAATTTTTGAAACTTAGCGCCAACACCGCACCACAAGAATAAAGTATCAGTTTGCTGGCAGTTCCAGCCGACTTCTGGGTTTCTTTTAGTAGTTCTACAATAGTTCCAACGCTTTAGATGGGTTTCGTCACGGGTACCGGCCTTTAACTGTTTTAAAATAATTTTTTAATCTTAGCGCCACCACCGCACCACAAGAGTAAAGTATTAGTTTGCTGGCAGTTCCAGCCGATTTCTTAGTCTCTGTTAGTAGTTCTACAATAAGTCCAACGCTTTAGGTGGGTTTTGTCGCGGGTGCCGGCCTTTAACCATTTTTAAATAATTTTTTAATCTTAACGCCAGCACCGCACCACAAGAGTAAAGTATCAGTTTGCTGACAGTTTCAGCCGACTTCTGGATTTCTTTTAGTAGTTTTACAATAGTTCCAACGCCTTAGGTAGGTTTCGTCGCGGATGCCGGCCTTTAACTATTTTTAAATAATTTTTAAATCTCAGCGTCAGCACCGCACTACAAGAGTAAAGTATCAGATTGCTGGCAGTTCCAGCCGACCTCTTAATCTCTTTTAGTAGTTCTACAATAGTTCCAACGCTTTAGGTAGGTTTCGTCGGGGGTTGGCGTTTACCTATTTTTATATAATTTTGGAAACTTAGCGCCAGTACCGCATCACAAGAATAAAGTATCAGTTTGCTGGCCGACTAAACTACTAAATGAGACCAAGAAGTTGGCTGGAACTGCCAGCAAACTGATACTTTACTCTTGTGGTGCGGTGCTAAGATTCAAAAATTATTTAAAAATAGTTAAAGGCCGGCACCCACGACGAAACCCACCTAAAGCGTTGGAACTATTGTAGAACTATTAAAAGACATCCAGAAGTCGGCTGGAACTGCCAGCAAACTGATACTTTACTCTTGTGATGCGGTGGTGGCGCTAAGTTTCAAAAATTATTTAAAATTGGTTAGAAGCCAGAACTTTTGCTAAAACATATCAGGAACTATAGAACTATTAAAATGGCTTTTTTTGGAAGTTGCGGTGCTACAGGAAGTTAGCACCTGATATTTTCAATCTGTCATTTTGTTAACTAATTCGGCATTGATATAACCTATCAGGAACTGTAGAACTATTGTGGGTGCCAATAGAACTATCGTTAAAACTTTCGGTGCTAAAAAATGAGGTGCCAACTTCACACTGGTGCCAACGCGGAGGGTGAGAGTTCGTAAGGCACATCGCATGACTAACTATGCAAAAATGCTGCTTGCGCGAGAAAATCAATACTATGAAATATATTTTCGCTGAAGGTATTGTTCGGAAGAGAAACTCATAATTACGTCAATTGTCACCGCTGTTGCTATCGTTTCACCACGGAGGTTGATTGGTTATCGATCGATGTTACAAGCTAGCTCCCCTCACTTTTTCATCGTGCGAATACGAAGATGCACCAAATTATTGCCGTCATTTAGTAATTTGGCGGTAATGCATCTTCGCAATGTTTTCGCGGCAAATACGGTATATACCATGACGAATATACATCAAATACAAGGTAATTGGTATCATAGCGAGATATTGTTCTCCTTGAAATTTCTCCCTTCTTTCATTCGCTCGTCGACTTCTTTATGGAACATGTCAGTGGAGAATCGTTACTACAAGTGCACTCGTATCCTACTCAAGTCGCTCGGCCTGTGGCCCTATCAGGACTCAAAATGGACATGCGTCCAGGTAATCTTCATGACGACCATATCTCTCTCGGCGATATTCGTTCAGGTATTACGCGTTCTTGCGCTCTTTGTGTATTTCGGATGCGAGAAGTGCTATCAACGCGCATCGTCATCAATGTAATTATCGTTTTTAGTTGGCGGTGTTTATCACGCACGAGTGTACCATGGATGTACTGATTAAGGTGTTCTCTTTCATTTTCCCGACTATTTTCCAATTGTATATATATCACTTATATTATTTCAAATCTGATACGGTAAGTCGATGACGAGTTACTTCGCCTCGTTCGTTCGAACGTGTCATGAAGATTGTTTGTCCACTACAGATAAGAGAAATTATCGAAAATATATACTACGATTGGAAGTTTTTCAAGAATAAAGCGGAACTCGATATAATGAATGATTACGCCAACATTGCGAAACAGTTTACGAAAATGTGTCTGCGTAAGCATTGATTGCGGACTAATTTATACACGTGCACATTTATTGCTTGCAATTATAGCAAGTTAATGTTTAGCGTAATTGTAGTAATAATTACACCTCATCGCTTACTCATCGCTTTATTCAATACCGTCTGGTTTACGCACACACGCGCACATATTTTCAGTATTCGTAATGATTCGTAATTTTGATCAATTTTGATCAACACGGTTTTAATGTCGCACTCAGTTCTACATTCTGCTTTTCTCTTTCATATATTAATGTAATGAAGGAAAATATGTCATGCGCACACTTATATACAGTACTATAATGTGTTTTTTGTTCTTAAGGTGAACGTACCGAATTACGCCACCTTAGCTCGATCTATGCGTGTAAGAAATCTTAGCTGAGGAAAAGTGTTTAAAATTGTCGGAAAGAAGTCGTGAGAGATAGTGTGTAAAATGCGCTAAAGTAAGCATACAATAATATAATGTGATTTTCCATGAAAACCAATTTCAAAAGCCTACATCAAAGATCTGTCACTTTTGACTATTTTCGACTGAATTTACTTTTATATGATTACTAACCTATAAAGTGTCATTGTACCTTATAATATGATAAAATGAAATATTTTTGGGTAGTAATATAAAATGTTTTAGTTTTGTATGATTAAAATATAATAAAAGATGATAAAAAGGTATAATATTAAAAAGTTATATGGTTTTTATACAATATATTTATATAATATAATATAGAGTGGTGTTATTTGGTACATAATCAGTGGCGTAAATTGGGACCTACAATTTCAATGGGTATAATTCGGGACAGTTGCAGTTCATATTTATTCTTTTATATAAATAAATAATCTTGTTTATTTCTAATTTGTATATGTATTTTCGCTAATTTACAATAATAAGGTTTAGTAAGATTCATAGTCTTACTTAACACCACTTTACTTTTTTAAAAATAAACTCTCAAAAATTATTCTTTGCTTAAAGTGGCGTAATTCGGTACGTTTACCTTAATATCATTTTGCTTAGACTACAAAAGTATTAATGCAACAGTACAGATATTTTAATCCCACACAATGTGGGGCACCTGGTTGTATTATAATAATTGCTTGTAATGTTATTAATCAAACGAATTTATTAAATCGTTGATTTATCCTGATATTCCTCAGTTTGTCTCTGCATCGGCATAGCAGCGATCATAATATGTTACACTATGCCAATAATTCTTGACATTGTTTCGCCTGTGAATGTGAGTCGTGCTGAAGATCTACACTTTGCAGTGGAATACTTCGTCGATCAGTCCAAGTACTGTTACATATTGATATTGCATTTGACAGTTTTCATTTGCTTAGGATTCATCACAGTGATAAGTATCGGAATAATGTGTTACAGTTACGCTTTACATGCTTGCGCGTTGTTTAAAGTGACCAAGTGAGAATTCGAAATAATCAAATCCGGAAGAATCAAGCGATATGCAATATAAATGTTGCGTTTTCAGCTATCGGATGGAAAGCACAATGGACAAGGACGTATTGCGAATCCCTAATCCGCAAAGGCAGCACGTAATTCGCGACAGACTGATTTGCGCAGTCATCATTCATCGAAGGGCTTTTCTGTTTGTATAATTTAAACTGTGAAAATATCTTGTGCCGAGCTTTCACGCAACAAACTATTAATCATTATCTGTTCAAATTTAATTTTGCTTCAAATTTACATCAGATATATTCTGGCATTCGCATGCAAACTAAGAATATGTTTTCGTCAAATTAAATATTAATTAATTCCACAACACATATACACACACACACACACAGACAGACATAGTTTGTCCCATAACTCAGTACAAGGAATTCGTGGAGACATAGAGCAAATTAAGACAAACATAAATATTCCATATTGTTTACGATATTTGCAATGCTTATCGAGTTATTAATAACAAAAATCTGACGAGTGACCGCGTGCCGAAATGGTATTGGACGATCGGTGCTCAGGCCACAGTCGATCTAACAACTGTTGCTGGCGCGCGGCGAAACATAGAAGTAGGGAAATAAGACACGAATAGCGGTGCGTTCTCGTCATTCTTCTCGCTGCGCGCCGACAATAGTTATTATTAGAGGTATGCAAAAGTTTCCATTTTTAAGGCAATGTTTTTTACTACTATTATTATACGTGATATAGTATCTTTAATCAAAATATTTTCCGGCATTATCTACTACTTTTTGCCATCTTTCAGGCAAAAGATGGCAAATCACGATAAAAGAAGTCTTTGTTCTTAGAATGAATTATAGTTCTCGATGAATTGTTGCACTTCTTCAACCTTGCGAAATCATGTACCAGACAAATTGTGCTGCATAAAACGAAATAAGTGAAAATTTGATGGGACAATATCTGGAGAATATGCCGGATTGGTAGGACTTCCCACAATTCCATTAAAATATCCCGGGTTGTCAATGCAACATGGCACCTGGCATTGTCGTAGAGAAGAATCACTTTGTTTTGTTTTGTCAAAATATGGTCGTTTCTCAATCAATTGCTCATTCAACTACCTCATTTATTGACTATATAATTCCGCAGTGATAATCTGAGATGGTTTTAACAGCTCATAATATAGCATTTCTTACATGTCCCACCAGATACACAGGAGGATCTTATGACCATAGATATTTTATTTTGGCTGGGGCCTAAAAAGTTCTCCGGGATTTACGTACGATCTTTTCGATTGGGATCGTTATTGGGATCGCGATTGGGATTGTTATAATAAATCCACTTATGTTTGTATCTATGGGACAGTGAAAGGCAAATAGTGACTGGCAATAGCGTTCTCGGATAATTCATGGGGAACCCATTTTCCTTCCTTCAAAATTTCCCCTATCTCATACAAGCGTCGAATTACAGTGCTCTGATCAATATGTAACTTTTTTGCAAATTCTATACTCGATTGAGTCGAATCTTCTTATAATAACGCTTCTAAGTTATCCAAATTCATCTCTTACTTTTAGTCGCCCGGCACGCTTCTTGTTTTTCAAGTAAAAATCGTCATTGTCAAAATGCTGAAACCACTCACGACATAAACTTTTAATTACCATTTCTTCATAAGTTTCGCAAATGATTCTGTTTGCTTCGGCAGCTGTTTTGCACTGATAAAGTAAAAAAAGCATATAATAACAAATATGCGTCTTATCGACTTCCATCTTCATATGAATTGTTTATATCAATATGACTTAGTATATATCAGTTTCTATGCAGGTTCTATGCAGGTTGGCCAATACTGACATAATCTAACAAAAATGTGTCGCAATTTTCATGTAAATAATCGCGATTTGTACGTGTAGGATGGAAACTTTTGCATACTCCTAATATAATTACAATGGAAGGCGCATTGTAATTCATCTGAAGTTGTTATACCAAGAGTAAAGATGTTTCTCTATTCATATTATTACAAAGATCATAACACGTTAAGACTAAATATTTCGCGCATCGTACAATTCTCTAATAAGATACAATAGAGGAATATGAAGAATCAATCGTGAATGTACAATAGGCTTTCGTTAATATTTCTTTCGTATTCCTTCCGACATAATGAAATGATAGATTGCGATAGAAAATAATTAAATTCTCCCATCGGTTTTTATCGCTTTCTATTTTGCCATTATTTTTTTTATCACAGACACTTATCATGTTTCAGATTAAATCTGTCTTACAAAATGATCTCATAATTATTGTATCTCTTAATAATTATAATCACAATTATATATCGGTCGTTAACGCGATTCTAGGCGCAGTGTGATGAAACGTAAGAGCGCCGGTTTAAGGACGAACACATTTTCTTTCTCCTTTTTTGCCACGCATTCAAGAGAGGGATTAGGTAAACTTGGCTGTGCTACGGCTCGAATGCTCTTCCTCCACCACTTGGCTTCCTTTTGATTTTTGAACATTAATTTTTCAAAAATTATTGCAAATTTTGCAAAACGATGTGGGACTTTTGTGTTTGCTTCGACCCGCACTACGTCTCCACAACAGATTGTTCGAGTAGTCTGAGACACTCTGTATAATAGTATTGTAATTAATATTATTTTTTAATTATAGATATTATTAATTATTCCACATCAACATTTTGTAAAAAATAACCTATAAAATTTTTGGATTAAATGCGAAAAGAATAATTTTGTCCTTACAGAATGTAGCATAATGTGTGATATGAGATTTTTCTGTTAAAGGTTTTGCGATATTTTAATGCAAAATTTGCAAAGATCGCTTCTTTTTTTAGCTGTAATCGGTGTGGTGTCTTTGTCAATCAATTTATTTCGTGTGAGTAATACGATATTTTGTACCATCCAATTTTTTCAGAATAATCAAGTAAATATCTCCTTAATTGTACGTTTAACATCATAGCTTCTTAAAGCAATAACAGCGTTCGAGGAAATATTTGAAATAATTATACCGTCCATTCTCGTTTTCTTTCACTTTTTTTATATGTTCCTTGGCAACCACGTCGGTCAACAAATTTCAAATATTAATGCCGAAATCTTCAACATAATGTGAGTATTTGTCTTCCGCAAATTTGAAGAAAGTTGTCCTGCATATTATAGCGATAGAATAATTGCGAATACTGTCTATTCGTCGCACATAAAAGTGTTTTGAACTAAATGCCATAACAGAAGCAAAATTTATTATTTTTACATTTAACGAAGATTATAAGAGCTTGAGAGTCTCAAAAACGTTTTCTTTAGGCGAGTAACAATACTCATTATTTTTAATTTATAGATGCAGCTTGCCATGGTATACAGCTTCTTTAAATGTACAAAAATTACTGCTGTTTTTACTACAAAAGAATAGTAAAAATTTTTATATCTCGCTAGGCGGTATATTCGATGCTTCATACGAAGGTTTTACAATGGTAGCGAATGCTGATGCAAATATATTATAAAAATTCGTCACCCTTATGGGCTCAATGTATTCTATGAATAAAAGAAAAACTTTATGTTTCAGCTTTCAAAGTTATCAATATCGTACTTCACGGTACTTCATGCTGTTCAATAAAAATATAAACTACAACAAAGATATTTATAGTCAATTTTAGTGACTTGCACCTCGCGATATTATATAAAAATTATTATTCTTTGACTTAGATATATTCAAACTCTATACGATATCGTACGATGTGAAATAAATAACAGAGTATTATAAAATAAACAAATTAAGTTGAAACGTAGCGTTCTGCTTAACTCCTTATTCCGTATATGTATTTATAAAAAGTTACGAAATTTTACTGTCATATTAACTCATATTTTGTTATATTTGCAACTGTTCTACACTGGTGAAAAATGCGTTTTTCTTACATTATTCTTCTTGCCTTTTCGCATCAATTCCTCGTTCAACGTTTCAATTGTCATTAGTAGCGGTTGTCTTTAACTGTTCCACTGATTTCAGTAGCTCATGATATATTACGCCCCTTCTTGATCCCATCATATATACAGCATTACCTTGTAACCGTGAATATTTCATTTAGGTGTCGAAATTAATGGTTGGTCTGGGATTTTTTGCATTTCGGATTATCATAATAGATTTATTTTTCATCGCCGATTACAATTTGTCACAAAAACTCCCTTTTTATACCTTGCGAGCAAACAACTAACAATGGAAAGACGATTACAGCATCAATCAATTCGTATAGCACCCATTTTCTTGGTTTATGAATCTTTCCCATGGTATATAAACATTCGAAAACCCAGTCGCGTCGGTGACATTTAATGCTTCTATTACTTCATTGTTCGTTTGAGATGGATTTTTTTTCAACAATGCTTGCAATTCAGCGTCTTCAAACTTTTTTGCCTGACCTGGATGTTGTTTGTATTTCATATAAAATCACCACTTTTAAATTGAAACCATTCATTGCAAGTTGTTTTTGATGGAGCAGTATCACCATAAGCTTTACTGAGCAACCGAATTTCAGTAGGATTTTCCTTCAAATCATAGTAATGAAGAAGTATATGTCAAAAAGCTTCTTATTACGTTCTATTTTCTATCGAGTAAAATGGGACGTTATGTTCTGAATTTTGGAGAAATGTTAATTCTTCTTTTGCGCTGTCAGTCACAACATTCGTTGCTACTATCGTTGGTACTATCTATTTGTGAGAGTCGGAAATTAAGTTCGGCACCTAATACATCGCGCAATGGTTTTTAAGTTTTCCCTAGTCTATAATCGACTTTGTGAGGAGTACGTTAAAGAAATTAAAAAAACTGCAGCTACAATGCACTATGGTACACAGCACCATTGCAGACGCAAAAACTATTGTTGTTCATAATGCAAAAAGTAATGAGATACGTCACTTTAACATGCAGCGGCATATTTGTGGCATCCCTAGAATGTCTCGCTTCAGTAAAACTCAAAACTTATCGCATAATGAAAGCATTCGGAGTTCAATGTGAATCGGACAAACGGTGCATCATATGTGTTTTTTTAACTGATAACTGACGAGAACAGTCGTATCTTACTTCGCGGTGATATATTCTACGCAATAATAATTACTTTCGAGAAAGAAAAGAATTATTATCAATCTCGATCTCTCTCTCGACTTTCTATTCGACAACTCGTATCTGTTCCAAAACTGTTGATTATATAGCATATTAAACAAAACATACCTTCACTTCTGAGACACAATACACCGACATCAATATACAGGGTGTATCTAAAAGTATGTTACAGATTTTAAGGGCATATTTTAGGGGACAAAATAAGATAAAAGTTCCTACAAACATGAATCCAAAAATGCTTTCCTTCCGAGTTATACATTAAGAAATGATGTGTTAAAGTTAACATATTTCATGTGTCTCAAATCATCCACTCTCATTTATGTGTTAATTTAACATATAACAACTATGTTAAAAAGTAACACGCATAATATGTAAAAAATTAACACAAAAATTTAACATTCGAATGCCGTCAAGAAGATCACAGTTTGTGTTAAATTGACATACAATGAATGTTACTTCAACATTTGGGAAAAGTAATGATCTATGATTTGATGAAATGAAAACGTTAGATTGACATAATCTATGTGTTAAAAATCCAATCTTTATATAATATAACACATGATAACTGTTATAATAAGGAAATTTACACATTTTAGATGTTGACTTTAACAAATATGTCAGAGCAAGAATTCATGCATTTACATATAAATTGTGTTATTTTAACATTAGAAAATGTTATTTTAACATTTAAAAATAGTTAATTTTAATTTAACACAAAGTCTAAGTAACAACAACGATATGTTAAATTAACACACGACTGTGTAAAAAATTTAACACGAAACTTTCTACACATAAAAAATTTTAACAAAAGCACGAAACGTTTTTAACTGTGTAGCCCCCTAAAGTTAGGGGGAAAAAGACCCTCGAAATTTTGCACAGCGTAATAATTAATAATGACCTCGGTAGTGACCTTCATTTTTATGTGATTTAGGGGGCAATTTAGTTTGATTTTGAGGGAGAGATATGGAGGGGATGCTAATTTTCAAATTGCCATATTCTTTTATTTTTCGTCGTATTGAAAAATGAATGAAACCATTTGCTTCAAGAGAAAATAACGTTCAAAAAGCTATTCCTAAAATTCTTTATCAGACTAGTTGTTTCCGAGAAAAACAGAGAAAAAAATTGGGAATGTTCGGAACACTGGCCGCATAGGTAATTTATCGTATGGCCATTTGAAAATTAGCACCCCCCTCCATATCTTCCTCTCAAAATCAGATTAAATTGTCAAAACCACATCAAAATAAAGGTTACTATCGAGGTCATTATTTTCTAAATAAACATAAAAATAAAGATTACTATCGAGGTCGACGATCTTTTTCCCTCCAACTTTAAGGGGATATAACTCGGAAGGGAAACATTTTTGGACTCATGTTTATAGGAACTTCTTTTCTTATTTTGACTAGAATATGCCCTTAAAATTTGTGACATACTTTTAGATACACCCTGTATAATCGTATAAAGAACGAAAGTACAATCCCATCAGCTAGAGCAAGAATTACGTTACCAAGTGGCTGTTGTTACGTCTCAGAGGAATAAATATGGAAGGAATATAGTGAAATGTTCAAAAATTAACGAAGTTAACCCATTAATGCCGGCTGGGACAGAAATTTCGCGTTGATTTCAATGTTATGAATTTTTATGAAAATGCTCGAAAATTTTAATCCAAAGTAGATTACTAGGGGTTTTCGAAGTCACTCTTTCCGATTCCGCTGCGATAATCATAAAAAAATGAGTGTTTGTATTGATTTGTAACGGTTTTTTCCAAAAAATGCGATTTTTCTAGTCAATTTTTTTTTAAATCGTGGATTTCATCTTGATAAAAATGTTGAATATTACCCATGTCAAACGCAAAAGCAACTTGCAGAAGCACTTGCAGGAGCACAAAATTGTGCTCAATCTGTCATTTCCGATCGTTTGAAAGCCTTAGGAAAGGTTTACAAGGAAGAAAAATGGGTCCCATATGAACTGAAGCCAAGAGACATTCAGAGGCGAAATATGAACTGAAGCCAAGAGACATTGAAAGGCGAAAAGCCACTTGCGAATTTCTGCTCGTTAGGCAACAAAGAAAGGGGCTTTTACATCGTATCATCACTGGGGATGAAAAACGGATTTATTTTGATAATTCCAAACGTCGAAAAACTATTTGCAATCCCGATCAATCCTCAACATTGACTCCAAAGCGGAATATCCACGGAAAGAAGGCAATGCTTTGTATTTGGTGGTATCAGAAGGGTGTGCTGTACCATGAGCTGTTGAAAAGTGATCAAACAGTCACAGGAGATCTCTACAGAGAACAAATGATCCGTTTGAGCCGAGCATTGCACGAAAAAACGACGAGAATATGAAACGAGACAGCATAAAGTGATTTTGCTTCATGACAACGCTCGGCCTCACGTCACAAAATCTGTCAAGGAAACGTTAGAAGCACTTCGGTGGAAAGAGTTACTTCATGCGGCTTATTCACCAGACTGTTTCCCTTCTGACTACCACTTGTTTCGGTCGATGGCACATGCACTTGCTGAGGAATGCTTCAATTCTTATGAAAACGAGAGAAATGAGTCTCTGGATAGCCTCCAAAGATAAGTCATTCTTTTGTCGCGGAATTCGCTTGCTGACCAAAAGATGGAAAAGAGTCATAGCTAACGATGGACAATACTTTGATTGATGTACTTTTTCATTTTGTTTCTTAAATAAAGCTATACGTTTTGCAAGAAAACGGACGGAACTTTCCGATTGACCTAATATATTAGAGACTGCAATTTTAAAATAGTGTCGCGAACATAATGTTTTATTACCAAGTCTAAAGTATAAAATAATTCCCACGTTTTATCAAAATATAAAATCTTCAAAATTCTGAAAAGTGCATGCCAATATGAACATGTATTCTTACTTCTGTATATTTGCAGGTATAATTGAAAATAATACTCAATTTCTCTGAATATACAAAAATTAATGTTATTTCTATTGCAAAAGGATAACAAAGTCGCCCATTTGTTTATCGCCAGCACTTTCGATGTTTTATATGAAGATTTTGTAACGGTATTGAGAGTTTCTCATTACTAATTACAATAGCATGTTCGATATGTTAAATGTAAATGAATGCATGTTTCAGCTTACAACTTTGGAAATATCATATTTCAATATGATTTATGTCATGCAGTAAAGACGTGAACAGTAGCAAAAATATTACTAATCGATTTTATAAGATTAGCTTTTGGAAAATGATTGTTCGATATCGAATATTGTTATTACTTTTATTACATACTACTTACAGACGTAATGAAACTGACAGTGCATGAAGTGAATTTAATTTCCGTTTCAATAAAATGAATAAATGATTTTTCAATGTATTTTCTGTCTCACCTTATGTTTATGGATGAAAGATTTATACCATGTGTCGTACGGTGATGACGAGACTAATAAATCACACCCATCGCTTATCGAACGAGAAAATTTGCTTGAGGCTACCAAATGTAAACTTGTGCTTGTTAGGTACTCTATTGTTACAATTGATGCGTTTAACAGAGAACACAAAACGCATCTCTGCCTGTTGAAACTGCCCCGTCAATGCTGAAGGTGAAAGTTCGTAATGCTAGCACGTCACACGACTAACTGCGCAAAAATGCTACTCGCGTGAGGAAATCGATACGGTGAAATATATTTTCGCCGAAGGTATCGTTCAGAAGAAAAACTCGTAATTACGTTAATTCCCGCCGCTATTGCTTTCGTTTTACCACGGAGGTTGATTGTTTATCGATCGGTATCACAAGTACTCCCTTTCACAAGCGTTCCCCTCACTTTTTCATCGTGCGATCACGAAGATGCACTATATTATTGCCGTTATTTAGTAATTTGGCGATAATGCACTTTCACGATATTTCCGCGGATTATTTATCTAGTTAATATCTAGGTCGAAAATACATTTCTATTGCGATAATCGGTATCATAGCGAAATATTGTTCTCCTCGAAATTTTTCCCTTCTTTCATTCGCTCGTCGAGCTTCTTGTAGAATATGTCGGTGGAGGACCGTTATTACAAGTTCAATCGTATCCTACTCAAGTTACTCGGGCTGTGGCCCTATCAGGACTCGAAATGGGCATGCATCCAGGCTATCTTCATGACGATCATGTACTTCTCGACGCTATTCGTTCAGGTATCACGCGTTCTTGTGCTCTTCGCGTACTTCGGTCCGGATGCGAGAAGTGCTATCAACGCGCGTCGTTGTCGACGTAATTATCGTTTTTAGTTGGCGGTGCTCATCACTCACGAGTGCACCATGGACTTATTGATTAAGGTGTTCTCTTTCATTTTCGTCACTATTTTCGAGTTGTACATATATCACTTGTACCATTTAAAATCCGACACGGTAAGTTGACGACGAGTTACCTCGCTTTGTTCGTCCGAACGTGTCATGAGGCTCGTTTGTTTGCTACAGATAAAAGAAATCATGGAAATATGTATCAGGATTGGAAGTTTTTCAAGAATAAAGCAGAACTCGATATAATGAACGATTACACCAACTTGGCGAAACAGTTTACGGAAATATTTCTATGTGAGCATCGATTACGGGCTAATTTGTACACGTGCACATTTATTGCACATTTATTGCAATTATAGCAAGTTAATGCTTAGCATAATTGTAGTAATAATTACACTTCATCGTTTACGTTTATTCAATATTATCTGGTTTACGCACATGCGCGCACACATTGTCAGTATTCGTAATGATTCGTGGTTCTGATCAATTTGATACGGTTTTAATGTCGCACTCAGTTCTACATTATGCTTTTCTCTTTCATAATTAATTTAATCCCTTGCACTATGATGTAAGTTGCAACAGCATGTGCCAAAGTCGGTGATAAAACCGGAAAATACAAATTACATCTGTAATGTCGAGTCACATAAATCGTAAAGTCGCAAAACGCAAATCGCAGACGTAGAACATTAACCAGAATATGTAAAAATTGAACCACGAGTCTCACTTGTATTTCTTATGTTTGATTCGCAAAACATACGATAATTCTTATTCGTACTTCTTATATTTGGCCCGATATACATACCACGAGTCTGACTCGTGTTTTTTATGTTTGGCTCACAAAGGATATCACGAATCTCACACGATATAGGATAAGAGGTCAACAGGGAAAATATGTTTACACTTGTATTAATAGTACTATGATGTCTTTTTTGTCCTTAATATCATTTTGCTTAGGCTACGAAAGTATTAATACAGCAATACAGATGTTTTAATCCCACATAATGTGCCTGATTGTATTAATTGCTTGTAGTATTATTAACCGAACTAATTTATTAAAACACTGATGTAACTTGATATTTCTCAGTTTGTCTCTGTCTTGCCATAATAACAGCCACAATATGTAACATTATGCCAATAATTTGTGACATTATTTCGCCTGTGAATGTGAGTCGGATGGAAAATCTATACTTTGCAGTGGAGTACTTCGTGGATCAGTCCAAGTATTGTTACATAATAATGTTACATTTGACGGTTTCCATATGCTTAGGATTGGTCACAGGGACAAGTACCAGTGTAACACTTTACGGTTACGCTTTACACGCTTGTGCGTTGTTTAAAGTGGCCAAGTGAGAATTCGAAATAATCAAATCCGGAAGAATCAAGCGATATGCAATATAAATGTTACGTTTTCAGCTATCGGATGGAAAGCACAATGGACAAGGACGTATTGCGAATCCCTAATCCGCAAAGGCAGCACGTAATTCGCGACAGACTGATTTGCGCAGTCATCATTCATCGAAGGGCTTTTCTGTTTGTATAATTTAAACTGTGAAAATATCTTGTGCCGAGCTTTCACGCAACAAACTATTAATCATCATCTGTTCAAATTTAATTTTGCTTCAAATTTACATCAGATATATTCTGGCATTCGCATGCAAACTAAGAATATGTTTTCGTCAAATTAAATATTAATTAATTCCACAACACATATACACACACACACACACACATACAGGTTATCCCTTAACTCACAAGAGGAATTCATGGAGACATGGAGCGGATTAAGTCAAACATAAAAGTCCCATATCATTTGCGATAAGTGCAATAGTTATCGAGTTTTTAATTACAGAAATTCGACGAATGTGCGCGCGTCAAGATGGTATTGGACGAACGTTGTTCGGGCCACAGCACCGCCCAGTCGATCTAGCGACTGTTGCTGGCGCACGGTAAAACAAGTAGTGGCGCATTCTCCTCGCTGCGTGCCGGCAACAGTTATTAGGAGTATACAAAAGTTTCCATCGTGTTTAACGCACTTTTTTATTACTATTATTATAAATGATATAGTATCTTTACTCAAAATATTTTCTGGCATTATCTACTATTTTTTGACATCTTTTAGGCAAAACATGGATATTACGATAAAAGAACTCTTTGCTCTTAGAATGAATTGAAGTTATTGATGAATTGTTGCATTTCCTCAACATTGCGAAATCGTGTACCAGACAGACTGTGCTGCATAGAACGAAATAAGTGAAAATCCAATGGGGCAATATCTAGAGAATATCCCGGGTTGGTAGGACTTCCCATTGCAATTCCATTAAAGTTTTTTGGGTCGTCAATACAACATGAGGCCTAGCATTGTCGTGTAGAAGAATCACTTTGTTTTGCTTTTCGCAAAATATGGCCGGCAAATATACTCGATTAATTGTTCATTCAACTACTTCAATTGTCGACTGTATAATTCCGCGCTGATAGTGAGGTGGTTTTTATAACTCATAAATACAGCATTTCTTACATATTTTACCAGATACATAGAAAGATCTTATGACCATGGGTATTTCATTTTGACTGTGACGTAGAAGGTTTTGCCGGGATTTACGCACGATCTTTTGCGATTCAGATTGTTATAATAAATCCATTTTTGTTTGTGTCTATTCAGCAGCGAAAAGCAAATAGTGACGCGGCGTTAGTGGCAATAGCGTTCTCGAATAATTCGTGGGGAATCCATTTTCCTTCCTTCGAAATTTTCTCCATCTCATGCAAGCGTCGAATTACAATGCTCTGATCAATATGTAACTTTTTCGCAAATTCTATACTCGATTGAATCGAATATTCTTACAATGTTGCTACCAAGTCATCCGAACTCATTTCTTGCAGTCGCTCGGCACGCTTCTTGTCTTTCAAGTCAAAATCATCACTTTTAAAGCGTCGAAACCACTCACGACATGATTTCTTAGCTACCATTTCCTCACCATAAGTTTCGTAAATGATTTTGTTTGCTTCGGCTTTTTTGCGCTGATGAAATAAAAAAGCATATAATGACAAATATGGGTCTTATTGACTTCCATCTTCATATGAATTAGAAATATTTATGTCAATCACTATGGCTTATTATGCCTCAGTTTCTGTCTAAGTTGACCAATACTGATATGATCCAACAAAAATGCGTCGCAGCTTTCCTATAAATAATTCACAATGCCATCTATACGTGAACGATGGAAACTTTTGGATATCCCTAACAAAATTACGATGGAAGTAATCGTAATCTATCCGAAGTTGTTACATCAAAAGTGGATTTCTCTATTCATCTTATTACAAAGATCGTAATACGTTATGACTAAATATTTCGCGCATGGTACAATTCTCTAATAAGATACGATAAATGAATATAAAGAATCAATCGTGAATGTACAATTTCGTTAATATTTCTTTCGGATTCCTTCCGACATAATGAAATAATAGATTGCGACAGAAAACAAATATATTCTCTCATCGGTTTTTATCGCTTTCTATTTTTCCATTATTTTTTTATCACAGATACTTATCATGTTTCAGATTAAACCATTTTTGCTGTCTTATAAAATGATCTCGTAATTATAATCGCAACTGTATATCGGTCATTGACGCGATACTAGGCGAAGTGTGATGAGACATAGGAGCGCCGATTTAAGTGGTTTGAATGCTTTTCCTGTGCCACTTGGCTCCGCTTTCACCTTTGAACATTAATTTTTCGATAATTATTACAAATTTCGCAAAACGATATGGGACTGTTGTCCCATATTCGCTTCCACCCGCTCTAAGTCTTCACAAAAGATTGTTCGGATAGTCTGAGACACTCTGTATAATAGTATTGTACTTAATATTATTTTTTAGTTATTGATTATTATTAATTATTCCGCGTCAACATTTTATAAAAAGTATCTTATAAAATTCTTGGATTAAACGCGAAAAGAATAATTTTATCTTTACAGAATGTAGCATAATGTATGATATGAGAATTTTCTGTTGAAGGTTTTGCGAAATTTTATTGCTAAATTTGCGAAGGTCGCTTCTCTTTTTAATTGTAATCGGTGTGGTGTCTTTGTCAATCAATCTATTTCGTGTAAGTAATACGATATTTTATACCATCTATTTTTTCCAGAATAATCAAGTAAATATCTCTTTAATCGTACGTTTAACATCACAGCTTCTTAAAGCGATAACAGCGCCCAAGGAAATAATTGAAATAATGACAACATCTTTTGTTATTTTCTTTCACTTTTTTTATATGTTCCTTGGTAACCTTATCGGTCAACAAATTACAAATATTAATGCCGAAATCTTCAATATAATGTGAGTATTCTTGTTTCGAAAGTTTCAAGAAAGTTATCCTGCATATTATAGCGATAGAATAATTCCGAATACTGTCTATTCGTTTGTATATAAACGTATTTTGAACTAAACACCATGACGGAAGCAAAATTTATTATTTTTACATTTAACGGAGAATATAAGGGCTCGAAATTCTCGAAAACGTTTTCCAAAGCGAGTAACTATACTTATTATTTTTAATTTACAGATGCAACTTACCATGGTATACAGCTTCTTTAAGTGTACAAAAATTACTGCTGTTTTTACTACAAAAAAATAGTAAAAATTTTTATATTTCGTTAGGTGGTATATTGGATGCTTCATATGAGAGTTTCACAATGGTAGTGAATGCTGATGCAAATATATCATAAAAAATCGTTATCTTGTGGGCTTAAAGTATTGTATAAATAAAAGAAAAACCTTATATGTTTCAGCTCTCAAAGTTATCAGTATCGTACTTCTCAGTACTTCACGCTATTCAATAAAAATATAAATTATAACAGAGATATTTATAGTCAATTTATAGTGACGTGCACCTCGCGATATTATATAAAAGTTATCATTGTCTGATTTAGAAATATTCAAACTCTATACGATATTGTACAATCTGAAATAAATAACAGAGTATCACAAAATAAATAAATCAAGTTGAAATGTTGCGTTCTACCTAACTGCTTATTCGGTTTTTGTACTGTAATATAAAAGTTACGAAATTTCGTTATCAGATTAACTTACATTTTGCTATATTTGCAACTATTCCATGTTGTTGAGAAACACGTTTTTCTTACGTTGTTCTTCATGTCTTTTTTGCATCAATTACTCGTTCAAATGTTTCAATTATCATTGGTAGCGGTCGTCTGTGACTGTTTCATTTGATTTCAGTAGCTCATGGTACGTTTCACACTACGTCCCTTCCTGTTTCCACCAAATACAACATTACGTTGTGACTATAAATATTCCATTTAGGCATCGAAATTGATCCAGGTTAGTCCAGAATTTTTTGCATTTCGGATTATCATAATAGATCTATTTTTCATTGCCAATCACAATTTGCCACAAAAATTCTCTTTCTTATACCTTGCGAGCAGTGGGGGCATTTATTCCCTCCGTAACCTCCTATGCAAGCGTCAACTACGTCACAAGTTTTGATAGACTCGTACTTAAATATACAATAGGGCGCTCTTAGGGCGAAACCAATGTAGTATAATACAGAATTATGATTGCGTTCCCATATTCACTGCCAATATTGAAAATACATCATTTATGTTACGTATACTATAGATTTTCAGTGCTGGCAATGAATAGCGGAACGCAGCCTATATAGAAAAAAAAATGGAAATAGATATGATTTGGGCTCCACAAAAACCTCCAATATTCACACAATACATCACGAGTATGTGAAGCAGCTACACGCGTGACGTAATTGACGCATGCGCAGGAGGTTGCAGAAGGAATAAATGCCCCCAACACTGCTTGTGAACAAATAACAAGCAATGAAAAGACGATTAGAAATTGCAGTATCAGCCAATTTGTGTGGCACCCATTTTCCTGTTTTATATGTTTTATAAATTTTTCTCATAGCATGTAAACATTTGGAAATAATGCCGTTGATGACATGTAATGCTTCTACTAATTCTTTGGTCGTTTGAAGTAGATTTTCTTTCAATAATGCTTGCAATTCGGCGTCTTTAAACATTTTTTGGTTAATCTGAATATAATTAATTTTATAATTAATTATATAATTAATTATATAATTAATTATATAATTATTTATATTAAATTAAAATTATATTAAATTAAAATTAATTATATTAAAATTAATTATATAATTAATTATATAATCAATTTTAATATGAAAGACAAACAATATTCATTGTTTGTCTTTCATATTAAAATCACCACTTTTAAATTGTTAAAACCATCCTTTGCAAGTTGTTTTCGATGGAGCAACATCATTATAAGCTTCACTGAGCAATCCATGAATTTCAAAAGGGTTTTTCTTCAAACCATAATAGTGAAGAAACACTTGTTGAAAAATCTCTTTATCACTCAATTTTCTATCGAATGAAATGAGTTGTGTACTGAATTTTATGGAAAATCAAGCTTTTTGGAAATGTCAAACTTTTTTTTGAGCTGTCAGTCATAACATTCGTAGCTAGTGTCATCTATTCGTGAGAGTCGAAAATTAAGTTCGGCATCTAATATATTGCGCAATGGTTTTCAAATTTTCCCTTGTCTATAATCGACTTTGTGAAGAATATGTTAAAAGAAGCAAAAACATAACAGCTACAATGTACCATTGTATGCAGCCTCATTGCGAACGCAAAAACTGCTGCTGTTATTATAATATTTATGGTTCATATATATTTACACATGTGATGATCATAAAAGAAAGATTAAATACTAAGCGGTTTCTTACAATACCAAGCTCAAGTAATTATAACAATACTACTATATATGTCGTTTTCCTTATTAAATTTTTTCTTAACAAAAGTCTACAGATGTTTCAAATTTTGATGATTTTTTTTCTATATAATCACTTTATTACCATGCATTTTTAATTATGTTTCTAAATTTTGGTGGTGAAAACTGGTAGTATATTGAACACTGCAATTTTAAAATAGCGTCGCGAACATAAAGTTTTATTACTAAATCTAAAAGTATTACTATATTTACATTCTTTTTACATTCTTTCTTTTATATAATCATTTTTCGTCCAAAATTATTTACGTCAATATTGTAAAATTATTTTCATTCTGATATTTCTCTTCTGTATGTTGCGGACGTCTATGTACGACTTTAATAGTTGTCTTTAAATATTTCAATACATTCAGCATTTCTGGAAGATAAATTCCTTCATCAAACCCTTTAGGTTGATATTCTCTATTATTACGATTCAAATTTATTTCATGCACCTTATTAATATAACTTTCCATCATACAACATCTCCAACTCAGACCAGTAGTCAGGACACGAAGTCGTATGGTATAACCACTGGAATATTCTTCTTACATTTATTAAACTTTGATAATAGAGAAAGTAATTGTACAATATATAATAAAATTTTAATAATATATATATTATAATGTAATAACTACTGATGAAACGCTTCTCATTGAAATCTCATAGAAATATATCAAAGTTCACGCTTCATATAATTATATCGCCACACATATCAAAATGTATTATGAATTAAATAAATAAGGCTATGTATAATCTAATAATGTTAATGTACACATCGAATATTTTTCCACATTTATATCACGTTAATAAATATGACCGAGTTTGCAACTACGTATATCACTCCCGTCGTAGTAGTTAGTCGTAGTATTTTATAGCACACTATAAAAATAAATATATAGACTTTTCGTAAATAAAATTTCATTTTCTGAGAGCATATATATACTTTCTTGTAAAGACAAAATATAGGAATATATGACTATTGTTGTTGAGGATTAAAATGAATGTAATGACACAGAGATACATTGCACCTTTATGTATATTCAATAAGGTTTACAATCCAAGAAAAGAAACGATAGAACAAAACGTTATGACGGGTTTTAGAGAGCGAACACAACATGGCTTAAAAAGAGTTACACACAAGACAAAGAAGAGGGAGGGCTTTAGTAGAATCTGGAACACATAGATGTTGCCATAGAACGTCTTGAATATACATTTCTTAACAATTGTTGTACATAAAATAATTAGTATTATTATTGTTGTTGTTGTTATATATTGTTGTTTTATGATTACATATTCTGCATGTCAATACTAATCATCTCTTACTATGAAGAAATTTGAAGAGAACATGTTGCGTATATGTATCGAGTGACGTAGGCAGTTATATGTATAGCATTATTGTATAATGTTACAGTTATACGTATAACGTTACAGTTATACGTATAGCATTATTGTATATGGCTGGATTCGGCATAAAATATACTCTCATTTGGTAGAAAAAAAATTTTTAGATTATAAAAAATTCGTAAATGGGGTATGTTTAAAATAAAATTTAAACTTTTTTTAAACTGGAAACGCTGTTATACAGTACTCCTCAAACTATTAAATTTTTATCTGAATATTTTTCTATCCTTTCTATACTTTTGATGATACTTGCTCTAAAAAAAAATACCGATTTTTCATAAAGGAACGTTTCACTCCTTAAAAGGCTGAGCATATACATATTATATAGAAAAATTCGTATTCCTTATTTTGGTCTAGATTATTGCATATTTCAAATTCATTAAAATACGTAGGGGATACTTGTATGTTTTTTTTTTTTTTAGAACAATCATTATAACTTTTGACTGAAATTAGTTACGTAGTCATTAATAAAACATTAACAAAAACGATTATTCAACAGACTATTTAGTTTTATAGGCGCGCACAATGCAACTTATAAAGTTAAAAGATATCAATAATTTATAATTTTATAAAAAATTGCTTAAAAAGATTAATAATTATTGATTTAAGAGAGAACAGTAAAACTGTTTTAATGAAATAATACAATTATTCTATTTAATAACAAAATTTGTTTAAATAAAAAAAGTTGTGTAAACACCATAAAAAATTGTTTTAATAAAATAAGCCAATTATTTGAATGAAGCAATACATTTCTTTCAGATATTTTCTATGAAATAATAATTGAATGAAATTTGAATGAAATATAATATGAATGAAAGAAAATATGCCTTTTATCTGAAATAAATATTTTATTTAAAATGAAGATATATATTCTTTGAAAAGTCTAACGATCGAATTTAATAATCGAAATGTAGTTTCTTTGAATCATTCCAAATATATTAAATTTGTTTGGATGCAATAAAATTTGTTAAATCCAAAGGAGTATATTTTTCTCTATGTAGAAATATCAATATCACAGTTTGTCTTTTTCGTGCTATTATACGCACATATGTAACCATCAAATATTTTATAGAAAAAATGATGCAAGATATAAGAAGATATAATATTACGAGATTATTTGTGCTACGCAATAATTATTAATTTACATAATAATTATGAATTAAAATATCGCAAGTACAACATTTTGTGGTATACCGCTCCGCTGCAATCGTAAAAGATGCTACTATTTATAATGCATAGAACGACAAAACATATAAAGCCAGTAAGTTGTTTGTAACATCGTTGGAGGTTTCACTACAGTAATACGCGCAGCAAAAAGCGATGCTTATAAATTATTCAAAAAGGAAAATTTACTAGAAATACCAAAATTTTCATTAAAACCACAGCTTTCGTATAATTTGCACAATTCATGATTTATACGCTATTATGTCTATTGTTAAATATTATTTCAGTTGTTTACATCGCTATCTTACTTCACAGTAATTTATTCTTTCTACGTTAACGAGAAGACATCGCGCAGATATTTATCTACAATTATTTTTGTGCAAACAAAGATTCGAACACTGATAATGGTGTATCGATTATCACAAATACGATAATCAGAGATATTATTACTTATTGACATTTGTATTTAAAACTTTATATAAAAAGATGTCATTGTCTATAGCACCTCAAGAATCATCTTGTTGAGCATTTTACAACTAGCGACTTCGTAAGAAAACTGCATACATCCACTGTAAATCTGAATGTGTTATTTTGACACGCATAAGCGTAATTGGTTAAAGGTTTCTTTACATATTTCTTACATGTTTCTGATCGTCCCAAATCACGTCATTTAATATATTTAGACACACTAAATGACGCGAGATTAAGATGATTAAAAATATGTAAAGGAAGCCTCAACCAATTACACGCTCATCTATATCAAAATAATATATTCAAGTTTGCTGTGTACCTTTGTCTTGATAGAGAGAGAAAAAAAGAGAACTAATCGTCAATTTTGAAAACAATAACCAACTTACCCACATACACGTTGTATTTTGTGTACGGTAGACTCGCACATTTAATTCTGCGAGCCAAGTTCATTGCAATCTCTTTCTAGATTAAGACGAATATACAGAAGAAGCCGCATATGTTACTTTAATACATATGAACGTGTAATTGGTTGAAGCTTTCTTTATTACTTGCCGTTTTAAATCACGTCATTTAATATGTCTCAATGTAATTTAATACATTAGAACGTATGATTGTAAAGTGATTTGAGACAACAAGAAATATGTAAAAGACGCTTCAGCCAATATACGTATAAAAATAACACGTTCAGACTTTCAGTGTTGTCTTCCACGATCGTAGCGGGAAAAATATTTAACATTTCCTCATATACAAATAAAATATACCATAAAAGTGTCCATATAATTCAACACACAGGCAACGAAAAGAAATTGACTCAATCTAGAAATAGCGGAAATAACTCACGTCTTTATATCGCGTGAACGTGCGTCTTCGTCGTCCCGAAATAGACAGTTCAGCTCGGCGAAAGAATGACGTCTGAACGTGAGAACTACGCTTGCGCAAAGACGCGTTAAACTACGTAAGTCCGAAATATGAGAATTGCAAAGACACAAGACGTATTTTCGTCTAATTTGCCTGCAATTAACTTTAATCGGCGAGCAATTCTAACATAGCACGACTGTATTACTCGCAATTTGATCGATCGGTGAAATTTGCGTAAGTATCTGCCGTAACTGTATAAAATTACCAAATTATAACCGCCGACAAGGAGAATCTCGCGAAAATGAAAGAAAAGAAAAAAATACGGGAAAAATAACCAGTTGAAATTTAATAATTAATCAAGTCTGAATACCACGCGAGGAGGAAATCATCAGCGATAATTCTGCAGCGCCCGCAGAACCGTTTCGTCTGCGGTGCAAAATGGTCTTCGCCGGTCAACGCTACTACGACATTTATCGAATTATGTTAACGAAAATTGGCTTGTGGCCGTATCAGAAGCCGAGTATTTTACAAACGGTATTCTTTTTCAGTGCATACATTTCGTTTATATTGTTTCAGGTATTTTTCGATTCATTCTCATAAGACAACTTTAATACCTTGCGTTGAGAAGCTTAGCGTCTAACTGACGACCTGACATTCTATTATATACAAGCCGAAATTCGTCTGTCGTGTCCCAGATATTTAATGTAATACATGCTTTTGCTTTCTCTGAACTTTTGAAGTTAAGTAGGCTCACATATCCCTCGTACTAGAGTCAATTAAATCGTCAACGCAAGGGGTTGAAAATTTACCTTTGGATCGTTGCACGGATTCGATATGTTCGTCGCTCATTTATCCGTTGCAGCTTACAGTATTTTTAACGACAAAGTGCGACTTTGGAGATGTGATTAACATATTTTCGTACATTCTGCCCAGTTTCGCATATTTTATATTTTACAATTGCTTTTACTTCAATACTAATGAAGTGAGTACCACTTGCGGTTTTATTTACACGGGATTCTTGCACCGTGTGCGAATTTCGTGTTTCTGTGAGCAAAGGGGATATGTAAAGCAGTCGTTGTTCAAACGGCAGATAAAACAACTGTTGGAACAAATCAAGATGGATTGGAATACAGTCGAAGACAGCGAAATGCGAATATTGGAGAAATATGCCGTTGGGTCTCGTACAATTTCGTTGATTCTAGTCTGTAAGTTATAAACTACGAATTTTGCGATTTCTTTTCTTTTGGGATGTGTTTTCTATTTATAAATCACTTACTTTATCCTCACTTCAGAGGAAAGAAAATCCGCGTTATTTCACCGCATACTTTTAATATTTTTACTCAAGCTGTCCTAACATTCGGTGGAGTGGTTCTTATAATTGTCGAGATGCTGCCGGTTATTCTTGACGTCATCGCACCGATGAACGTATCTCGCCCACGCAAGATTACGGTAGATTTCGAGATGTTTCTCGACCAGCAGCAATATTTCTACGTCTATCTGATACATGAGATCGTGGTCGTAATGGTCGGATTTTCCACAATAGTCGCGACAGGCTCATTACTACTTGCGTTTCTGACGCACTCTTGCGCTACCTATAAAATCGCCAGGTGAGTGCGTCCAGTCATGCACGAGTCTCGCTAATAACGAAATAATCCTTCAACTGTAGCATTAATTATGAGTAACTAATGACTATTTTGACTACAAGTGAATTATTTGCAGCATCTTAATCGGAAATATAGTGACTAAACAGACGTTTGAAATTCCCACCGATCAGAAAACGCGCGAGATGTACCGAAGGATCACTCGTGCCGTGTTTATGCAGAGAAAAGCTATACAGTTAGTCCTCATGTGATTTATTTTTTACATTTCACAGTTTGTATTTTCGCATAGTGCACATATGAGATTTTATTTAAAAAACACATTTATCACGTTCCATACGGATATGAAAATGCTTTTTTCTTTTTCTTTGATGTTCCCTGTTATCGAAGATTCACCAAATTCTTAATAAATAGTGTGGATAAGTGGTTTTTCGTATTGATGGGAACCGGTGTGTTGTCTCTGAGTTGCAACCTTCTCCGAGTATGTAACGACTATCATTCTTAATATATTATATATTTAATATCATTCATATATGACTGCGCGTGATTATTACTGATATAATATATTCTCACATTATAGTTTCTTACTGCAGTGACAGTGTTAAAGGAAATATCTAATGCGATAATAAGCAGCGGAGTGGTGTTTGGCCATTTTGCAATTATGTTTATAGGTAATTTTATTGGGCAAATTGTTACAGATCACAGCGCGGGAATGTTTACTGCTGTGTAAGTACTTTATATAAATATGTAGATCAAATGACGGAGAAAAATGAAACAGAAAGATATTTTTCTTGTTGATTCTTTTCCTTTATTTCTTAATATTTATGCTAAATTAATATTTATGCTAAATTCTTTTAAATTATGCTGTTTTTAAATTCGTTTAAATAGCAAGTACTAAATAAAGCAAATATTTCACGTAATATTTGAAAAAACATTTGTAAAAGTGAAAAATACGTAATATGAGATCGTTTATTTTTGTAATTTCTTTAGATGTAATACTACGTGGTATCTGGCTCCGTTGCCAATACAAAAGATGCTGTTATTTGTCATGCAATATTCTCTAAAGGCTAATACGGTGATGGTTGGCGGAATTTTCATAGCATCTTTAGAGGGATTTTCTACGGTAATAATTGTCAAATATAACATATTTATTTCTTAGAAGAAGTCATTTGTCGTTTCTCTTCCTCCTACGGAAAATTAATTTAAGATCCTCGAGGCATATCGCAAAGAATAATATTATTACACGCAGCACATGTGTGAAAGATTAATCAGAAAGTAATAATAATCAATATAATAAACATTAGACTTATTTTTACTTTTTTAGCTGGTAACTACGTCAATATCATATTTTACGATGCTTTATAGCACATCCTAACAAATAAACAATGGAGGAATAGTGATTGCTTTAGGAACGCGTACATAAAGGTAGTAGGAAAAGGGATTTATATATATTGCATATATAACTATATCTTCTTAAACATGCTCTATACGAAAAATTGTATAAACATTTTATAAGTCATCGTGTTAAAATTTGCACGTGTCATTAACGATACTAATATATCGAGAATAATTTTAACATCCAGTGCTTTAACGAAAGTAGTTACAAATGAAATAAACAGTGATGCATTCATCTAATTCACCACAGAATTCAGAAACAACAAAAATTTACTAAATATAAAGTATTATGACATATTTATCTTTTCCGTTTTGTTTTATTGTTTTATTTTCTGTTGTTATAATTCTCATATTTTTTTATTAATTTTTTACTAATCCATTTTTTCAGGTAATGCGCTAGTTGGGAGTATTTCCTGTTCTCAATAAATTTTCTATCTAATTATTGCAAAAAATGAGAAGAGCATTATTATTTTATTTTGTATAAGTGTAACAATCCTTAACGCGCGTCGCCTAATAAAAATAATCGAAACCATGCCTGATGACAATATATATTACCACATTTTGACGGCTTATATTTCATTTTAACCACAATATATCAAGTTAAATCGAAATGAAACTTAGTATCTTGCCCAAATCCTTATTTCACACGTATATTTATCACAAGTTTCGACAAGTTCACAAGTCTATTCACAAGTCATCTCATTCACACACATTTTGCTTTATTCGCAACTATCCATGCTGCAGAAAAATGCGTTTTTCTCACGTTGTTGCAATGATTAAGTTTCACGATATCAGTCATCAGCCATCACACATATATACATTTTAGGATGATATTTTTATCCGATATTGTAGCTATGTATAATTAATGCATAATGTATAATTAATGTATCCCGATATGTGTATATTGGTGTATCTTGATGTAGCCGAACTGAGAAACGTATCATACGACGCACCGAACAAGAATGAAATACCGCTGACTGCTGAGTAACAGAAGTCACGAGAGCGCTTGCGCAATAACATTCTTCTGTCTACGCGATAAAAGAAAGAACAGCCCCTCTCGATTACAAATTGAGGCAATTGAGCTTAATATTTTGTCGCTTATATCGCAAATATATGAGTCGCAGTCGGAAAATTATCGCCACTTTTGTACGATATCATTGGCGAACGAAAGTATCGATCGTCTGTAATTCGCGAGAAAATTTTCAGGCAAACGTTCACTGTCAATTATATGAGAGAATATCAAGCTCTGAGCTGCACAGTTGCGTCGCAGCTTTCTTGCACGATGCATGCAACCGAGAAGCCTTATTACAAGATAAATCGAGTCGTCCTCAAGTCACTCGGCCTATGGCCGTATCAGAAATCGTGTCTAGTGCGAGTACAGAATGTACTGTTTATTGTTATTCTTACATCATTTATTATAGTGCAGGTATACGGGTAGTGTGCAGTAATCGGGCGAATTGAACAATTGCCATGCGTCAAATACGAGCGTGATAAAGCATATTATTTTTATCTCGTTCCCTGCTGTTTTTCTCGTCACATTTTATAATATATTTTATTTATATACAATATATAGTATATTTATTTATAGAATAATTTTCGTAGACGAACATTTTACGTTATTATTATACTCAACTTTCCAAATTTTCTAAATAATTTTGTTTCGTTACTTGTATTATAAAGAAACATATGTTTCGTTAGGCAGGATACACTTTTTGCAAGGAATATTTTATGTGACATATTTAAAAAGCCGTTATTTTTAGTTGTTGGTGTTGATTACAACACAATACAACGTGAATTTACTCCTCAGAGTCCTATCGTTCATGTTACCCAATATCTTCATCACGGTTAAATATTGCCTCTATATCATTCAGGCAAACAGTGTAAGTTTAATGAGACGAATTACTCGTTTAAATACTTTGCGATAATGCACGGAATAGATTAAATTATATATTAAAATAAATAAATCATCGGTCAAATAAAAGGAAAGATACATAAAACAAGCAGGTGAGACATTTGTTGGATAACATACACTATGACTGGAACTCGTTGAGGGATAAAATGGAAATTAACATTATAAAAGAATATGCTCATAACGGAAGGTTTTTCACAATGATAATAATGTGTAAGAGAATAGTAATTGTGGTATTCTATGTCGGTATACGTTCTCTCAGATTAGATAAATGGTGATGCAAATTACGGTCGGACATATTTGGATAATTTTTCAGGGATGAACTATATATAACTGAATTAAAATTTCACTTAACACGTTTTTCTCAGTGTTTTGCTATTTCGGCATAATTATTTGCGGGGTGTTTCAATTTTTACCGATAATCCTGGATATCGTGTCACCGCTTAACGAATCGAGACCACGTAAACTTGTCACAGACACGGAATACTTTGTCAACCAGGACAAATATTTCTACGCTCTTGTAATGCACGAGATTGTAACCGGCAGTATAGGGATGTTCGCCACATGCAGCACCGTTGCGACACTTATGATGTACATCCATCATGCATGTGCGCTTTTCAAAATAACCAGGTAATGCTAATGTTAAATGCATCTGTTTCGCGGCCACTTGTACCGACCGGTGTATATGGGAACAAATTTTCAGCTACCGTATAGAGAATGCGATGGAGAATAATGTGTTGTTGATTCCTGCTCCTGCAAAAGAATATTTTCTCCATCGGAGGATCGTGCACGCAGTCGTTATTCATCAGCGAGCCGCAAAGTTGGTATTCCTATGCTTGGTGATACTGCCAGTAGATTAAGAAAAAAGTGGTTAAATCAACGAAATCGGTGATCATTCTCGTTTAAACAAATATCGAATAAACATTGAATAAATTACGTGTGGACGCATCGACTACACGTTGCGTTAATATAACTGCTAACGAACTCGCAATCGTTGAATCAGTTGATAAGTGATCATTGTACAATTATGTAGGAAATAATAGATTTCATTTATTTTATGTTATTGTAAGATCTTTCTTATGCTTTCTTCTATTTGTATCTCTCGCGCGCTGAAACCTTGAGGCTTCATTCCATTTACCGTTTCGCTTTTAAAGAAGTCGCCGCGGTGGCGCTTAAGTAGTAGTGTAGTTCGTTAGAAGACGTAATCGTGATGTTGACCCGTTTTGCCGTTTTTTATACTTCACATAATATTCAATATATTTCCCTTTTCCTTTATCATCATTTTTCCTACAATTGATTCAATTGACCAAACATTCGCTGGAACAAATCTTGTTCGTTCAAGCAAAATTTCGTTGATTTCACCATTTTTTTCTTTTCAATTTATCAGTATTTTTCGTATTAAAAACGACTTGTGTGTGATCCGACTGTAATATTTAAAAATCTTTTTGCATTATTCGTGCTACAAGCCAATATAACAATGTTGCGATATTCGATTTCTTTTCAAAGGTTCGTTGAATATTTAAAGTCTGACATTATGGCACCGTATACGCTTTTGATCATAATCGGCGTCAGTTCTCTCAGCCTTAACCTTTTTCGAGTGAGTAACGTCTCCGCTCCGATCTTTCATTTAATTGCATTTCGTATTTTAAGAAGTTACGCTCACTCTGCTGTAGTTCCTTCAATTGATAATATTAATGGATAACATCAACGAGTTGTTCATATTTGCTGTATTATTAATGACGCACTTCGGCTACATGTTTATCCCTAATTACGGAGGCCAGGAAATGTTGGAACACGGGACAGAGCTATTCAGAACAACGTGAGTATTCTCTAGGAATCAATTGCGACGTTTTCCACAGTATTCCTAGTCATCAGGAGCGACAGTATCCGCTTCAAAGAAATTTTGTTTGAATTAACTGCTACATAATAAAGTATCCCGAGATTTTCTCAGTCGTATGATTAAAGTAACATTAATTATTAGATATCGATCTTAATTTCTGACTTCGTTCTGCTTAAAAACTCATTTATTTCAATAACAAAGTGAATGAATACATTAATCAAAATATTTTCTATCATTTTCTATGACTTTTTCTATTCTTTTGGCAAAAGTTGATTGCGCGTCGATAAAACTTTTTTTCAACGCTTTTTGTTTTGGTAGAATGTCTTTTGAAGCGATCCAATCATTCACCCATTTCTTTTATTTCATTGACTTTGGGAGAACTTTCCATTCAAACTTTGTCAGTGCTTTTTGAATGATTTTTGCAATATGTGCCGAGCATTGTCCTGCAAAGGAATAATTTTTCCTCGATTATTGCTAACAATTGATGACCTTTTTCGCATCAATGCCTCGTTTCAATTGTCATTGATAGCGGTCGTCTATGATTGTTTCATTTTATTTCAGTAGCTTATGATACACTATGCTCCTTCATGATCTTACCAAATATACAATATTATCTTGTGCTCATGAATATTCCACTCGAGCATTGATGGTTGGTCCGGCACTACCTATGACTTTTTGCGTTTCGAATTATCGTAATAGATCTATTTTTTATCGGCGATCACGATTTGCCACACAAAACTGCTTTTTTATATCTTACGAACAAACAACTAGCAATGAAAAGACGATTAGAGATTACAACATCAGTCAATTCGTGTGGCACTCATATTCTTTCTTTATGAATCTTTTTCATGGCGTGTAAACGTTTAGAAATACTGCCGTCGGTGACATTTAATACTTCTGATAATTCTTTGATCGTTTGAGATGAAGTTTCTTTCAATAATGCAATTCGGCGTGCAAAACAAACTTTTTTGGCTGCCCTGGATGTGGTTCGTCTTTCATATTAAAATCATCATTTTTCAATTGTTGAAACCATTCTTTGCAAGTTGTTTTCGATGGAGTAACATCACTATAAGATTCACTGAGTAATTGATGAATTTCAGTAGGAATTTTCTTCAAATCATAGTAGTGAAGAATAACATATCGAAAAAACTCTTTATCACATTCCATTTTCTATCGAATAAAATAGGTCATTATGTATTGAATATTATGGGAACATATCAAGCCTCCTTTGCGCTGTGAGTCACAACATTCGTTGTTGATGCCATCTACAGGGTGCGGCGCCAAAATCCGGACAAAATTCAATTTGAATTTCCCGCCGTTCTATACCACTTCGAGAGGTCGCGATTGGCGTCCAAATAGCTTGACGCATGTACTAAACATTCATAACCTCGAAACAGTCGCAATGTTGAAACCAAGTGCGGACGAGCCGCGATTATCAATAGTGTTCGCGCTGGGCGCTCAGCGACAGAAATCATTCGATTCTTCGGGTACCTAAGATCGACTGTGTATCATCGCGAAGTATAACGAGTTGAAAAAGTCCAACGAAGGTTTTACAACACCGGCAAGGAAAACTCACTCGAAGGAGCGTGTTGTCAGGACGCCCGAAATCATTCAACGGGTTCAGGAGCTGATTTTTGAGTATTCAGGGCAGTCGATTCGAAAATTGTCGTCGGTTGTCGAGTAAAGAAAACTATGCGTCGAATCGTCGAGGAGGATCTCCGCTACAAGTCTTATACAATTAAAGTGAGACAGATGCTTTCCGCAGCTGCCAGGACAAAGCGAGTTGAGCGCTGTAACCTGCTTTTGTGTTCTTTACGAAACAATGCTGCCGGACGCCTCAGGTTTTTTTCTGACGAAAATTTTTTACTGTCGATGCGAAAATCAATCGAAGGAATGATCGCTGACTCGCCCATGATTCTGAAGATGTCCCCATTGTTTCCAGAAAGAAATTTCCGGCGAATGTTCACGTGCTAAATGTTGTGTCCAGTGAGGGTGATGTCATGCCACCGCATTTCTTTAACAAAGGGGAAAATGTCACAAAAGAAGTGTATTTGCATGTTCTAATAAATGTGGTAAAGCCGTAGATGGAAACTGTATCGTCTGGAAAGCCGTATGTTTTCCAGCAGGACAGTGCGCCCGCACACACAAGTAATTTGGTGCAAAATTGGTTATCGGACAACGTCGACATGTTTTGATCCAAAGAATTTTGGCCTCCCAACAGCCCAGATTTAAGTCCTTTGGACTTCTATGTGTGGAGCGTGGTTGAAGGGGTTACTAACAAGTCCAGACATCCAAACGTCGCATCATTGAGAGCCGCTATTGAAGCAGCATTGGCCCATTGGCAATCATATGGACTGTGACTCATTAAAACGGGCCTGCAAACGCTTCAGACCGAGAATGGAGGCGATCATGCAAGCAGAAGGGGGTTATATTGAGTAAATGTGTTCTTTATGACCTAACAAACAATTTAGTAAAAAAACTAATTATAAACTTCTCCATTTTTGCAATAAAAATTATGTTTCAAAAAAATGTTTAATTTGTCCGAATTTTGGCGCCGCACTCTGTATTCATGAGAGTCGGAAATTAAGTTTGGCACCTAATACATCAGACAATGATTTTTAAGTTTTCTCTAGTCTATAATCGACTTTGTGAGAAGTACGTTAAAAGAATAAAAAAAATTGCAGCTACAATGTACCATGGTACGCAGCGCCGTTACGAACGCAGAAATTACTCTTGATCATAATGCAAAAAGGAACAAGAAACGTCACTTTAACATGCGGCGGCATATTTATAGCGTCCCTGGAATGTCTCACTTCGGTAAAATTCAAAACTTCTCGCATAATGAAAGTATCGAGCTTCAACGTGAATCTAACAAATGGTGCATTGTGTGTGTCTTTTTAGCTGATAAGCACGGCCGTATCTTACTTCACGGTGATATATTCAACGCGATAACGATTTTCGAGGAAGGAAGGAATTGTTATTAATCTCGATCTTTCTCTCGACTCGCTGTTCGACGACTTGTATTCGTTCCAAGGCTATTGAATATAATATATTAAATAAAAACGCATCTTCATTCCTGAGACATTCTGTGCACTAACATCAGTATGCAATCGTCGAAAGAACGAACGAACATCCCGGTCAGCTAGAGTAATCATTATATTAGCAGGTGACGGTTGTTGCGGAAGACGTGCATCTCAGAGGAATGAATATGAACGGAATATAGTGAAATGTTGAAAAATTAACGAAATTAAAAGACTAATATGTCATCCGATACATATCGCAACATTATCACCAATTTGAACGGAAGACGAGAAAAGTGAAAACATAGAGCGATATTGTCTCCCAATGAGCTGAGGAGAAAATATAGCAGCAATCTAAATAATTGACCTTTTCTTCTTTTCTCATGAAACGTTCATCGAGAGATGTTTTCACTACATTTCCCTCTTTCTCGAAGTACTCACAACATCCGCTCGAACTGCACATTGTGGCAAATATCAATCGTTCAATACGCTTGCAACACTCACATATAATTTCTAAATGAAGAAAAATTGAGCTGATAAGAATATCCTGACAAAGTCTGGAAGCTGGTTCGCTAGTTAGTCGCATCTCATCATCAATGCGACATGTATTTGGTCGAGGAATATTACTACATAATCATTATATAATCAATAAAGTTTTTCTCCAAGTATTAGATATCATAACAGATAACATCTCATCAGTTTATTAGCTGTAATTCAGCTCACGTAATACATTGATTGATCTTTAAAAATTTCAAAAGCATCAAGTTAACAAAGTTAGAGCACTATTATTATAGCATATTCTTGAGACCAAATAGAAATAAAAAAGTCTAATATCCCCATTTTTTTTTACAAATAATTAGCAATATATCATAAGCTAAACATTGAAAAAAACCAAGTTTTCAATAAATATCTGAAAAAAATTAGGCAAATGCAAAATATTTTAGGAAAAATTTCAAATTAATTGACAAAAAAGATGATATAATAAAAAATGGAGGTTTCCATTTAAAAATTTAAAAATTATTTTTGTATGACTTTAATAGCACTATGTTCAAGATCATATTAATATACAATATTTATATAATGCGTTATTTGAAATTCTACAAACTATGTAATATTTTATATGAAATGTTTTTTTCTAAAATGTTTCTCTAATATTTTCAAGATATTTGACCGTTCTGAAACTTTTGGGATATTATGTATGTGTGCGTGGCCTAGGTGTGAGGATACCTAGGTGCGTGTGCGATTGTACGTGGGTGCATGCACGCGCACGTGTGTGTGCGTGTGTTAATTGATGTACCTAAGAAAAAATTGTGAAGAAATTGTGAATATGTGAAGAAGTATGTTATTTACGTTTAAATCTACCTGAAAATTATAAATTAATTAAATAAACTGAGTATACATTAGTCATGATAATATACGTAGAACAAATAGAAGTTTTAAATGATATATTAAATTTAATATATTTAATTATATTGAATTTAAATTTAAATTTAAACTTTAAATATCCATTGCAAAAGAGGAGAAAGAGATCACAAAACCAATAATAATTAATTTTGCACATATAAATAAGATAATTCAATTATAAATATACTATTGAAAAATTTTATTATATTAACGTAAATTCTATTGCGACGTGGTCTTATTGTAAATTCACCACATATAATTTAAAGGGGGAGTAATTTTTCCAGGTTCTAATTTTTCTAGGTTTACAATACATATATAGATCAGAATAAGATAATAATTTACTCGTACTTTCAAACTCCTTCAATTATTATTTATTAGTTATTATATTTCTTACGTTTGACAATTGAACGCAACTCAAATTATACGTCAACAATTGATGTTGATTATAACATTCTCATGTCATGAGAAACATTTTTCCCCTTCCTAAAATTCTGTAAAAAGCAATAGCAAAATAGAACTGACTTTTTCAAGTGAGTAACATCGCCGCTCCGATATTAATTGCGTAATTACTTTAGGATCGCACACTTTAGGAATCCATGCTCCCTCTACCGTAGCTGCTTCATCTGATATTATTAATGGATAACATTAACGAGATAATCATATTCGCTATATTAGTAATGACTCACTTTGTCTACATGTTTATCTCTAATTACGGAAGTCAGGAAATAACAGAACACGGGACAGAACTGTTCAACACAACGTGAGTATTCCCATTAAATTAATCAATTGCGACGTTTTCCACGGTATTCCCAATCATTAACGGCGGCTATATCCGCTGCAGTAAAAATTTCATTCGAATTAATTGCTACGCCGTAAGACATCCCGAGATTCTTAATCATACGATTAACTTAACCTTAATTACATCGTGCAGTTGTTTTTAAGCTTTCCTTAGTCCTACGATCGACTTTGTGAAAAATACATTAAAGCAAAAAATGTCGCAGCTACAATGTACCGTGGTACGCAGCACCGTTGCGAACGCAGAAATTACTCTTGGTCATAATGCAAAAAGGAATAAGAAATGTCACTTTAACATGCAGCGATATATTCGTCGCGTCCTTAGAATGTTTCGCTTCGGTAAAACTCAAAACTTCTCGTAATGAAAGCATCGAGCTTTAGTGTGAATTCTAAGGAACGGCGCAACATGTGTATGTGTGTGTCTATTCAGCTGACGAGTACGGCCGTATCTTATTTCACGGTGATATATTCTACACAATAATAACGACTTTCGAGGAAGGAAGGAATTATTATCAATCTCGATCTCTCGGCTTGCTGCTCGACGACCCGTATCCTTTCCAAAACTGTGGGATACAGCGTATTAAAATAAAAATGCACATTCACTTCTGAGACACTCTATGTACCAACGTCAATATACAATCGTCGAAAGAACGAACGGACATCCCGATCAACTGGAGCAACGATTACATTACCAAGTGGCGATCGTTGCGGAAAACTTGCGTCTTAGAGGAATATGGTGAAATGTTGAAAACACAACAAAGTTTTAACACAACAAAGTTAAAACTGTTAATTTATCGTTTCGCGGATTATGTTCGAATATCGCAGCGCTCGATAATTGAGAAAAATCTAATGTGTCGTTCGATACATATATTGTCTCTCAATGAGCGGAGGAGAAAATACCGTAGCAATCTAGATAATTGACTTTTTTCTCTTTCACTTGTGAAACGCCCATCAAGAGATGTTTTCACCGCCTTTATCTCTTTCTTCTCGAAGACTCTCACTGCATGTCGCATCCGCTCGAGCTGCACATTGTGACAAATATCCCATTCAATATTAATATGCTGTAACACTCACAGATAATTTCTAAATGAAGAAGGACTGAATCGATGAGAATATCCTGGTAAAGTCTGAGAGCTGATTAGTCGCATCTCACCGTCGATGCGACATGTATTTAGTCGAGGAATATTACTATACTGTTACGTTCATGTAACGGCTTTTACGGCTTCATATTAGAAATTATTAGAAATATATGGATCAAAATAAAGTATTAACGATTTATTAATGCTTTCAAACCTTCAATCATTTTTTATTACTTTTTACATTTCTTACGCTTGACAACCGAATGCAACTCGTGTTGCATGCAAACAATAAATGTTGATTATTACTCTTATGGGGTCATAAGAAACATCTTTCACTTTCTTAAAGAAGTGATGACAACTTGCACCGTGGTTTCTCATTTCTTCTTCTTCTATGTCGTAGTTCGTGTCCGAATGTCGTAACCTTCATATGCACTGCGCAGACAAGGCTCGCTATAGTTTCCTATTTCATTTTAGATATAATCTCTAATGTGAATAATTATTTCTTCAAGTTACAGATTTGTGCCACGTCAAGTAATTTTCGTACATATGCGAAAATTCCTATTGCTTTTTACTGGAAAAGTGTAACGGAGAAGTTCTTACATGTCGAACAGTAGTGTGTTCGACATTTCGTATACGAGTAGTATATTCGAAAGACCTATAGCCGTCTAAACAGTACTAGAGTTAACAATGAAAATAACATTCCACTCCACTGCATCAAGCAACCTGTCTCGAGTACAGTGAAAATAAATGTGAGAACATCGTAGTATGTTTCGCTAAAGGGAGAAATCCCTTTCCGTAGACAAAATAATCGAAACAGTTTACCTCCTCGTCGGGAAAGTTTCTCTTTGCGTGTAAAAGACGCAAGGGTTACAAAAGAAGTTAATAACGTTAATTGATATGCTGCACACTACGCTTGTTCTCACGCTACTACATAATCATCAACTTTACCCTCACTGGTATTAGTCATCATTCGTAGTGCATCTCGAATGGTACTTTTATCCGACCCTTTGCGATTGCTGACTGGTACACTTCGATTTATCTGAACATGAAAATTATTAGGATGCTTGACAACGGAAAAGAACGTTGCATGTACGAATTTGACGCAAATTTATAATGTTGTTTCTGAAATTATATACAGGATGTCCACTTAAATCGAGCATCTTAAATTTCTCACTTATTTTTGATGATACGAAGGAATGTTCAAAGAAAAATTGCATCGTTAAGAAAGCAATTATGAGGACAGAAAAATTTTTTTCTTTCGAGGTCATTTTTTAAAGATTTGTGCTACGTCAAATAACTTTCGTGCATATGCGAAAATTTCTATTGCTTTTTACTAGAAAAGTGCAACAGAGAAACTTTTACCCATCGATCGGTAGTGTGTTCGACATTTCATAGGAATAGTATAGCTGAAAAACCTATGGCCGTCTAAATAGTACTAAAGTTAACAATAAAAATAAAAATAATCATTCTATTGTATCAGGCCACTCGTCTCGAGTACAGTAAAAATAAATGTGAGAACATCATGGTATGTTTTGCTAAAGGGAGTGATCCCTTTTCGTAGACAAAACAATCGAAACAATTCGCCCCCTTGTCGGAAAGCCCTGCTTTGCCCTGCGTGTGGAAAATGCAAGGGGTTACAAATGGAGTTAGTAATGTTAATTAATGTGCTACACACCGCGCTTGTTCTCACGCTAGTACGTCCTCAGTTTTACCTTCGGTGATATTAGTCATCAACCGTAACGCACTTCAGATGGTATTTTTATCCGACTCCTTGCGATTGCTGACTAATACATCTCGATTTAGCTGGACATAAAAGTTGTTAGGATGCTTAACAATGAGAGAGAACGTTGCACATACGAATTTGATGCGAATATATAATATTCCCATACAGCAGAAATGTTCAAAATACATCACAGGGATATTCTAAGAATATCACGATATCTTCAGAATATCT